CTTTTGTAAACCTCCATGATAATTGGCACACGAGACTCCAACAGGGGAAACTTTTGCAGAATAACATCTCGCATCTCATCAATAGAGAGAGAGGCTACCGGTACTCGCTGCCACAGACGGCTGCCGAGCATCGAGGTGCTTGGCGCAACTTCTTCTCCGGCAATATTGTAAGAAGATTTCATGGTGGCGATGATCTTGAACCCTTCTGCGCACTTAATCCGCTCCCTCCGGCTCGCAATCGTGAGTTCTCCTCGCTCAATGATCGGGAGGATGAGACCAAGAACTTCGGATGGGGCACGGTCCAAGTCTTCAATCAGAACCCAACGACCTTCTCTTGCAGCTTTTGTGAGCACACCGGGCTGCCAGGAGAAGGAGCCTGTTGCAGATGATGTCGCGTACATTCCGAGTAGACTCTTGGCATCTGTCTGCTCGTTGAGATGAAGCGTGACCATCGATTCAGCTTGGCCCATTACACCGGCAATGTCGTTGATCAGAGATGTTTTGCCGGAGTTTGGGAGGCCAACCAACAGGATAGGCTTGAACCCGAGAAGAGACCGTGCAATACGGCGGATATTTGCTGTCGTGGTAGGGGTCTTTACAACGGAAGAGGAGAACGGCTCCGCATCTTTCAATCGAGGAATCAAGACACCCGAGACATCGGCAGACCTGGCTGTGAAAGCATCCCGAGTGCTATCAACCAGCGCCATCGCTTCAGTCTCTGACCGGGACAATCTCGTCTGTCGAATATGTTTCTCAAGAGTTTCCCATCGTCGTTCCTCCCACAAGCCCAAAAGTCGGTAATCAATTGTGATCCCTTCCCAGATTCCTTCGATTGGGTCAGCGCCAGTGTTGACTCGCAGCATATTTTGAGTAGCTGCATCGGCAGCATGCATATAGAGGGCAAAGCATCGCACGGCAAGATATCGAATGACTCGATCTTCGTGAGGGAACAGGGATTGAAGTTGAATCGGTGAAACGGCTTTGGCAAAGGTATCCAAATCGAACGATAGTAGTCGGAAGAGTGCAAGGAGTAATGTACGGGTATCGTTTGGGTTTAACTGTCGTAGTGTCAATTCCTTCGACCCAACTAGGGCCGAGAGGGCTCCAGCCTGAGACGAGGCATGCTGGCTGGCGAAAGGTCCGAGGTATGCCGCGAAAGGTAGGATGCGAGCAAATGCCGCCAAAATGTGAATGGGATCGGCATTGAGATCCGATCGAAGCCATCGAGCTGCGAGGTCGACGACGATCGGTTCGTATAGTCGGAAAACAGTTTCTGTGAATTTGCTGTTTAATGCTCCAAGCGCAAGCGCGTGAAGCTGCTGAGTCCCCGAGGCAGACCGAACAAGACTTGCGATCTCATTCGGCAGCTGCTCAAGCAGCTCAGACTCTGTGAGAGTCCTCTCGTAGGCGGGCCTTTCATCCATGCTGAGCCCGACCGCGTAGAGGATCTCCTCGTAATTAACTTGATAGCAAGTTGAGGAAGAAATTCCCCGTAACTTTTTTTTTCTGCCATGATGGAAGGCCCGCCCCACCGGGCTGGAGCACTCACCGCCCCTCCATTGGGGGCGACCAAGCCCCCCGGAGCTTGCGCCAGCTCCGATACTCAGCCGTCAACCCTGCCTTCAGCAACGTGGTCTTCGCTATTTCATGAACGTGCAAGAGATGCTGGCTCTGTGGATATTTGATGGTTCAAGATGTCAATGACTGGTCAGAGCTCGGGCAGCGATGATCAACCGTACGCGACACATACAGCTATCCCGGAACAGGAACCTGAGAATCCACAGCTTCAAAACACTGGTCGAGGCGCAGAGGGATTTGAGCCGTACGTGTGCTGTCATTGGCGACTTTTTACTTTGCTAACTTTTGTTTCAATGCAGGATTTCTTTCAAGCGAAAACAAAAACGCCAATCCCGTTTCAGTCTATCTAGCCTCTTCTCGAATACCGCCGGCGGTTCGAACACTAGGCTTGGCGTCTCGAGGCTCCACGGCGGACTAAATGGTGATGCATCGCCAATAGAACCTTATGAGGCAGTTGGACTGAACGGCGATCCGAACTCTAAAGATGGCGGTCCCTTGGACTGGTATGTGGAAGGGCCCGGGCGCCGAGTTGGCTATGACGACTTTACCGCAATTGATTGGATCTATGAGTACACGAAGGAACGTCAACGGAAAAGGCTATTGTACTCCAGTGGCCAGGGTGTTCTGGGCTATGTGCGCAGAGTCATAGAAGCCAGTAATGTCTGGTTTGTCCTTATTGCGACTGGTATCGCGGTGGGAATCCTTGCTGCGGCTATCGATATCGCGACGGATTGGTTAGGAGACTTGAAAACTGGATACTGCAAAAGTGGCAGTGGAGGTGGAAAGTTCTATCTCAATCGAAGCTTCTGCTGCTGGGGCTTAGATGGTACGCACAAACTTGGCGTTTCTTGGCATTTGGCACTGTTCTATAATCTAACAAAGTGCCATGGTGAATAGATTATTCTAAGTGCATGGACTGGACACCATGGGGAAACGCACTGGGTGCATCGTCAATCGGAGGCCGGTACGCCATCGAGTATTTATTTTACATTGTCTTTTCGGTACGTGATTGTCTCTCTTCGGACTAGTGGGATATCTAACATAAACCAGGTTATGTTCGCTCTATGCGCCTGCCTCTTGGTACGAAGATTTGCAATTTATGCCAGGCACAGCGGAATTCCTGAGATCAAAACGATACTTGGAGGAACTGTTATCCGTCACTTCATGGGGCCGTGGACGCTGACTATCAAGTCGCTTGGACTGGTAAGTCTCCATCCTTGACAAGACTATCAGCGCTAGATAACTCATTTTACCTCCACAGTGCCTTGCAGTTTCATCCGGTCTTTGGCTCGGCAAGGAAGGTCCCCTGGTGCATGTTGCTTGCTGCTGCGCCAATATCATGATGAAACCCTTCGACAGCCTCAATGGCAACGAGGCAAGCAAACGTGAGGTCCTTTCTGCGGCGGCGGCTGCAGGTATATCTGTTGCCTTCGGTGCTCCTATTGGAGGGGTTCTGTTTAGCTTGGAGGTAAGCATAGACCGGCCCTTTGCTTATTTGCATTTTCTTCCGCCTGTGGTCTCTAATCCTTGACAGCAATTGTCCTATTATTTTCCAGATAAGACAATGTGGCAGAGCTTTGTCTGCGCCATGGTTGCTGCCGTAACTTTGCAAGCAGTGAATCCGTTCCGCACAGGAAACATCGTGCTGTATCAGGTCACCTACACTCGAGGGTGGCACCGGTTTGAGGTCATTCCATTCATCATCCTTGGCATTGTCGGCGGCCTTTTTGGAGCTTTCCTCATTCGTCTAAACATTAAGATTGCCCGCTGGCGACAATCGCGATCATCTTCTCGGCCTATTATTGAGGTCGCCATTATCGCGCTCTTGACGGCGCTGATCAACTTTCCAAATCATTTCATGAGAGCTCAAAACTCAGAACTCGTCCAGGCGCTTTTTGCGGAGTGCAGCAGTGACACATACGATCGATTCGGTCTTTGCGTAACCGGCTCTAAGGCTTTCGGTGTAGTGGCAATTCTGTTGCTCGCCGCCACCCTCGCCTTCTTCCTCGCTTCAGTGACCTTTGGTCTCGATATCCCAGCCGGTATCATTCTGCCTTCAGTTGCCATTGGCGCTCTCTATGGTCGCGCTCTAGGAATACTTGTGCGAATGTGGCAAGAAGCCTACCCAAAAGCATTCCTTTTCGCCAAGTGTGAACCCGACATTCCATGTGTCACTCCTGGCTTGTACGCGATCATTGGCGCAGCCTCGGCACTAGGTGGTGCGACGCGAATGACCCTTTCCATCGTCGTCATTATGTTCGAATTGACGGGCGCGTTAACGTATGTCATACCGATCATGATCGCCGTGATGTTGTCCAAATGGTGTGGTGATATCTTTGGAAAACGAGGCATCTACGAATCGTGGATTCAGCTCAATGGATACCCATTCCTCGACCACCGCGACGATACTACCCCTCCAGACGTCTATGCTCGGCGTGTCATGACAGCTGTCGACGATCTCTCTGTCATCACCGCAACCGGCCACACCATTGGCTCACTTCGAAATCTCGTGGCTAATACCACTTATCGTGGGTTTCCCGTCATTTCCGAAACCTCCACCCCCATCCTCCTTGGATATATCACACGCAACGAGCTCTCCTTTGCTTTGAAACATTCCACTTCTCCCGCCAACCGCAACCTCTCGGAAGATACTCAAGTCTTCTTTATCCATCAGCCGTTTGCAGACCCTGTAGAAACACTGGATCTCCGACCCTGGATGGACCAAACACCCATCACACTCAACAGCAATATCAGTTTCTTGATCGTTCTACGAATGTTCCAGCGTCTCGGGCTACGATATGTCCTATTCGCTAACAAAGGAATATTACAAGGCTTGCTGACCAAAAAGGATGTTTGGTCAGTGCTCAACGGCGTTGAGTTCCGTCGACAGGAGGCCCTCCGAGGCGACGAGTTTCAAGACACCCACGAGGCTGAAGAAGTCGGTCTGCTCCAGGGTGATGAGCGAAGTAGTCTCGGCGATTCACTCAGGCGAGACTCACTATGATAGCCTTTTTTACTTGGTTAATGAATTTTTACAACGATATTTTGTATGGTCTTTCTGATTAATGCTTCGGCCTACTGAATGTGGCCTTCTGCGATAAATTTCTCCTGAATATGTCTTACACGTAACCTGGATCACACAAATGCATCGACATTCTACATCTCTGCTGATACAAATCAACTCACTTCCCACGCTATAGACAGAAGTTTGAATCTAAACTTCTCTGAATCTACTTAGATGGGCTATTTCCGGCGGTAAGATAACCCTCTAAACATGTCTCTTACTTCCCAATCAAGTTAGTACAATTTCCCCCATTTTCCACTAGTTCGTCAACGAACTTTCTTCACCCTTCACCCTTCACCGCCCACTCACCGCCTGTGACACCGCTCTAATTTTCCAAAATATTGGATTCTGCCCTCTACTCAAACCGTGCGGTGTCTCCACCCGTCGAGTGCCCGTTGCAAGGCTGGCCGGATGATAGCACACCAGAGCTTGATCTCCATTTGAATACAGCTAGCAGCAGCGAAATTTGCGACTGGCTCACTGAATCGCCCGACAGTATGCTTGTCGACCCGTTTGAAGTGCGCATGCGCTTCACCGGGCAGCTCCAGCATCTCAGCGCCTCCGTTACCTCTTCCCAGAGAGCGGCGCAATATGCACTCAAACACCGCGACCTGGATGAGGACCTTCACTCATGTATTCTGGAGCAGCTAGAGAAAGTACGCATGGTTTTTGGGGACAAAGATGACTGAATGCTGACCTGTCTTACTTTGCAGAGCAACATGAACACTCGGGCCAACATCATGTCTTTTATCGAGCAATTCTGTGACATGGCTGTCAAAGAAGACCACGAGCCCTATGTTCGGATGATGCAGCGTGACATTCTTCGTGTTGTGGATGCAGTCGTTCCACCCGATGGATCCGGTGCAGCCAATGTTAAGCATGTTCGACTCGTACTGGGCAATTTACAAGACAAGGGAGTCCTCTCCGCCGAAAGTGTGGCTGAGATTGATGCCGCGCTCAAAGATCGCGATACCCACCCCGAACACTATGATAACGATGAGGAGGGGGCTCAGGAGGAAAGCGGCCGGTCCAAGACTGGCAGCCCCCGCAATGTCAAGACTCAGGGTACGCGCCTGGACAAACGACAGATCGAGCAGAGAGTCGAGGAAGATCGTGAGCGCAACAAGCGTCTGCGAGAAAGTATGTGGGCTGTCAGCGGGGATACCCAGGAGGAAATGCAGCAAAACTGGGACGCAGTCAGCGACACCAACTCGGATGATATCCGCGATGCTGAAGAGGAGGCCATGGAGCGGGCACAAGTGGCTGCCGAGATGCGCGGAGAGCTCTGACTTCCGTCAGGTATTATTACCGTCTCCTATCATTAGCATCTCCTATCCTTACCACCCTGCACCTTTACTATCCCGCATCTTTACCATGACACATCGTCGATATCACTTATCATTCAATGTGCGTTGTTTTAATGTTCGCATGAACAGCACAGGCGTTACGTTTTTTTGGGGTCTCTTTCTGTGGGAAAGTATCTGGCTGCATTTCACGGTTTCACAGCATTGGGGCATATGAGCTACGATTATGATACCCCTTTCGTCGTCCCAAGGGACTGTACTAGCATTCAATCACACGCTCAAGTCGGAAATATTCCTATCATGTTTCTATCTGTAATCTCCCACAACCAGTCATCCATCCCCAAAGGATCACAAGCAGGAAAGTCATGGCTCTTCTTCTTCTAGGAGGGAAGCGGACTTTATTGTCCACAGACCTCAACAAAATTTTGCTTTTGGCTTTTGGTATCCATACGCGTAATGTACACCTGGGGCAAGGAACTACATCGGGACTCTGTATAGATGGAGTAGATCCTCTGGCGCCAAGACTTTGTGGGGATCGGGAAATTTTAGGACCGACCGATTTTTTTTGGGCTGGTGCATCACGCTGCGGCTTCAATCACAAGTACCTTGCCTTGGGACTGGTACCGTCTTCCTCTTTCATTCTGATTTTTTTGGACTCTATGTTCTCCAATATTGTGACTGCGGCTAAAGGACTATTTGTGCGACACGAGTCTCAAGACCTACTCGCAGATCCTGCTGGTGCCACTGCCGCAGCTACATCCGACATGGTGACCGCTACCAGAAGAGGGACGGTCACGTCTAATCCGACCGGAGGGCCGAATACCAATGGTCCTTCTAAGCAGGGAAAGCGCAAGGCTCGGCCGGTGACCACGGAGAAGACAAATGACAAGCAGAGCAAGCGGAGGAAGAGGAATAGCGTGGAAGCAGAGATCACAACGATGGAGGAGTCCTCGGCGGACGAAGAGGAGACAGCACCCAAGAAACACTTCCGCTTCGGCAGTGAAGACTCAGAACCCTCTGTTCCAGAGATACTCCACGACTCAATCCCAGCGAAGGGCGAGCAGGATGAGGATGAGGAAAGCGACAGTGATGACGATGCGCCTGAGACGATCGATAATTCTGCCCAGCTCTTGAAGATTAAGGAGCAAGCCAGGAAGCAGGAAAAGGCAAAGCAACAGTACGTCTTGTCTCCTCTCTAACTGCTCTTCTTCCTATCCACCTTGACTGACAGTTCATAATAGAGAGGAGCTGCTGAAGAGGGAAAAGCGGCGGAAGCTCGACGAGACCCGCAAGTTGCAAGCCAAGTCCAAGCCCAAGGAAATCACCGCCCCCAGCGAGGACCTTCTCTCGGAAAGTACCGCCACCGTGCAAGGGGATAATACCGAAGATGCACGACGTCGCGCTTTGCCCGCTTTGCTACCTGACGATATCTTGAACGCCGAGCCAATTGCTCGTCCTCCGACGCCGCCTGCGGAAGATAACTTTGGGTTCGCGATTCCGAAAAAATCGAACAAATTGAGATTCTTGGAAAAGAATGAGAAGCCTCCCAAGGATGTTCACGTGGGCGATGTCACTATTCGAGTGCTTGATGCCCCGTCTACGAAACAAAGTTCGAAGCCTGCGTTACCCCCCAAAGCTTCCAAGAGTGGGCGGGGCCTGAAGGAGGGTTGGCTCAAGCAACAAAAGAGCACAGCGCACGTCAATGGTCTACGGAGGACTGCTGGTGGTTCATCTGGGTTTAAACGCCGATGAGTTCAAGTATCTGTGATTGTTTTATTAAGAAAAAGTGTGAAAGGCGCATCATAGCACGGTCCATGGGGTAATGTCTGCATTTTTTATTGGACTTCATGGAGTTCCGACTGTACATAAATTACCTACTTCCCTTTTCAAATGAGGGAGATTAAAATCAAGTATGAATCTCAAAAAACAATACATTCTTCGGTTGTCCCTTTCCTGCAAAGCATGTTTGATCTGGCATGTCCTACCTTGAATCTTGCTACTTCCACCGAAACGCGGATCGCCTCCAGATTATTAAGAGTGGGGACTGTCGCAATTCACGTGGGGAGCTCCGACCTTGGAAGCTCTGACTTTTCCCAGCTACATCACTCCTCAATTTCCTCCGACGCTTCTGTCGACTGCTCAGTAACGATGTCTCCGGCAGCAGAAGAAGCTCCTCTACTGCCTCAAGTGAATCCGGCCTCACCGCGGACGACCAGGGCATCCCGGTCGGTGACGTTCAACCCGCTGACGACAATCAGTACCTACGGCGGTACCACCTCCTCCGATCCTACCTTTCGCCCTCTTCAGACCGGCTCTCCTCCCGTTCAGAATATCAATGCTACAGGAGGGGCTCCTCGACCGGGCAGTCAGCCCATGCTGTCCGCCTTGAACAGCAAACTCCGTCGTCGCAACAGTCACGGCGCTCCCTTGACTACGCCGCCCCCGGCTGCCCCCAAGATTGGACCGCAGCGTACAACCAAGAAAGCACAGAAGCTTAAGCTCCTCCCAGACCCAGTAACCGCTGAAGAAGAGGAGAGTTTCGATGGGGATTTCCCTCGAGACGTCTATTCACAGATCACCCGCATCAAAGAGCCCGCAGCTCGCAGCCATGCCGCACGACTGGGAAAAGCCGACCGTGATCGCATTCCACGAGTCACGGCATACTGCACAGCCAATTCCTATCGACTGGAGGGCGTGGTCAAGTTCCTGAAATCCCGTGCCAAAACCCGTGGGGCGAACCCCAAGCTGTTCGACGAGTGCGTCTACTCCCCATTCGATTACCTGTATGAAGAGAAGCAAAAGGGAAGCCGGTTCTTCCCTACCGCAGGAGGCAATGGACACCATGAGCGACGAGCGAGCGAGCGGAGATACTCAGATAGTGCGGTGGAAGTCGATGATAACACAAAAACCCGACGGGAAGATCTCATCGACTTCCACGAGGAAGCTGGCCGTCCCGGTGATGTCAGCTCCGAACATGCAGTGTCTGCTCCACAATCGGACGAGGCCTTTGAGATCGACACCACCATTCATACCCCCGAGATCTTTCTGTTTGACTATGGCACCGTGGTGATATGGGGCATGACGCCAGCACACGAATCCCGGTTCTTGTCTGATATTTCGAAATTTGCATCCTCAATATTGAGTCCGGACGATACTCAGATTGAGAATTTCAATTTCTACTATGCACGAGAGTACCAGGCAAGGATATACAATGACTTCATCTCGCTACGAGAACCTCGGAACCACATGATCAAGCTGGCCATCTCGCATGCGCTAGCTCAGTCGGTCAAGACGTCACTATTTGAAGACCTGCTGTCAGAAACCATCGCTGACACGGCACCGCTACCGGCTCAGATTGCGCAGACTGGCAGTGTCAACCTCACACGCAAGCAGATCAACATGCAGATCGGCGAGTTGTTCATTCTGCGAATCAATATTCACTTGCAGGGATCTGTCCTCGATAGTCCTGAGCTTTTCTGGGCCGAACCACAGCTCGAACCCGTCTACCAGGCAGTCCGGAGTTACTTAGAAATGGATCAGCGTGTCAGTCTACTTACTGAGCGATTGGATGTCATCGCCGATCTTCTGGCCGTGCTTAAGGATCAGTTGACCCACCGTCATGGTGAATATCTTGAATGGATTGGTAAGATTTTTCTCGAGCAGGCTGAAATCGTGTCAACAAAGTTGCTAACGTCGCGGCCCAGTCATCGTTCTAATTGCAGCCGAGATCTTGGTCGCCGCCATCAATATTGTCGTCGACTTGTATGCGGGTGTCGACTAAGCTGAGGGGCTTAACGATTGAGAAGGCAAATTGCAAGAACATTGAGAAGCTAGAACTCTGCGTGCTACTTGTTCGACATGCGAGCGATGGGGTACAATGCCACACTAAACATCAACCCTGTTCCGGTCCATGACTACAATCCCATGTGGCCACAAGTCCGGCATCAGCCCTTTACTCTGAGGCTCTCCATCTCCTCAACTTTCAGGTCACGTTTGCTAGTGTACAACCTCTGCAACACATCCATTTCCTCGACATCTCCATGTACTACCATTTGATCAGCCAACTATCTTCCCCGTACGTGAAGGAGTGGCTATCCCGTCATTACTACAATAATTCTGTCCGTCTATTCACCGGTGTTAGAGTTAGTCTACATTCTTTTCTTTCCGGGGAAACGGAGTCAAGGCGCTGATCTTGCGCTGTAAATGGAATATTCATGTTCATACAATCACCAATGCCTACGTACCTGATTTCCTATGCCACGTCCTGGCCTTCGCGTTCCGTTTGGGTGCTCAAGTTACTCACTGAGCATGAAGCCTGACGAGCACCCTTATAAAACGCAACACGCTCGCCGTGTCCACGAATATCCCTTCCTTGTACTGCGCAGATTGCCCCTAGCTCCAACGCTCCTTTCGAAGACAACTAAGACTTTGCTACTTTACCGTTCTCATTAACAACACAGCAGTGCGAGATATCGCTGCATTGACTGCCGACAATATCCGCTCATTGAAAATACTGGCTTCGAGCTCAAGCATGAGAAATGGCCCCCAGCAAAAGGCAAATTTAAAGTCTCCGAGAAAGTCCCCGTAGCCGCTTGATCTGGATTAGAAATAAATAGCAAACGATCAGACAACCCAAAATATTTTTAACAATCCTTAGACCTTGAAAAATCTCGACTTGCTAGACTTTTGCAAGCATGGCGGCCATTGCCTTCCCAAAACACGCTAAAGTGCTGAGCTTGTCCACTGGCCACACATACAGTTATGTTTACCTTCCTTCCAGGAGCCCTCTGGGGGCCAGTATTCTCTTTCTTCATGGATTTCCATCTTCTTGCTATGACTGGCGCCACCAAATAGCCTTTTTCGCATCCTATGGCTACGGAGTCCTTGCGCCGGACCTTCTTGGTTATGGCGGAACGAGCAAGCCCGCGTCTCCTGAGGAGTACAAGACCAAGAAGATGGCAGCGGAGATTGCGGAAATCCTAGACCATGAGAAGATCCAGCGGGTACATGCCGTCGCTCACGATACTGGTAGCATTTTACTCTCTCGATATGCGAATTACCACCCCGAACGACTTTTGTCATGCACGTTCTTAGCAGTGCCATATTCCAAACCTGGAGAGACTTTTGATCTCGAGGCCATCAATGCAATGACCAAGCAGCTGGCAGGAAAGGAGAAATTTGGATACCTTGAATTCTTCATCGGAGATGATGCAGGAGACCTTCTCGATCAACGTGTAAGTCATCTGCATTCCAAAAACTCGAATGGGTCTATGCGATGCTTATCCCGAGAGGAATGATTAGATTGATTCATTCTTCACCCTTTTCTATCCCGCAAGTCCAAGTCTTTGGACCGACCATCTTGGTCCGACTAGTGCCATAGAATCCTGGCTCTCAGCAAATCAACAAGGTGAAATGGCGCCCTATATTACAGAAGAAGAGCGTGATATTCATCAAAAGATCATGCAAGGATGTCACGGCCCGGCTTTGAACTGGTATCATGTACTGGTGAAGAATATGAACCGACAGGACGAGATCGAAGCGCAACTTTCGGTCAAAATACAGAGTCCAGTTCTTATGGTCTTTCCAGCGCAAGTTGCGGGTCATTCTTCACCAGCTGCAATGCAATTGAATGATATAGCTGATGACTTGACCCTCAAGGAAGTTAGCACTTCCGGGCACTGGCTCCAGCTGGAAGCGAGAGGCGAGGTGAATTTAATTTTGAAGGAATTCTTCGAGCGATTCGACTTACCTGTTGATTGTTGATTATTGGCGTTGCTGTGTCTTTTAATGATGACGATGGGGCCGCGAGAAATTTATTTATGCATTAAAGACAACATGGATATCAGTACTATTTCACTTTCTGCGGAAATTTAACCGGACGTCTGGCCCGAATCAAGGCCATTTTCAAATGAGTCGATGCGCTCTCGAACCCGGATCTCAAGCGGAAGGGTATCTAAGGCCCGGATAAGTGCATCTGTATCAAGGTCAATATAGAGATCAACCACATGTCTAGGCACATGCACTGCTGTCATCCGCCTGAAAGGATGTAATAAGCATTCAACTCCGTATCCGTCACGCGTGAACTCGACCTGAAGGCTTTCCAAGGACTGCCTTCTGGCGAGGATTTTCCATGCGGCGTCCCAAAAGTAAGGTATGTCAAGAGGTACTCCTAGGCACCAATAGCTAGCTCTTGACCCTCGGCATCAATGGTAAATAGATCCAAGGGAAAGGATGACCGGATAAAGCGAATTATGTCTGGGCGTTGGCGGAGAATAGTGCGCTCAAGGTCGACAATAGTCCGAGTCTGCCGGAAACTCAAGATATTTTCGGAATAGAGAATATCTATAGCCTCCACGTATCTATCTCTGTTAGTGTCGGTACAAGACACGGTCGTAAGCACAGGTAGAAGTAAACATACACCCGACGACATGATTGTAATATTGCGACTCGAATCGGCCGTGGGTAACGGCTTTCACATTCAGGCACGTAATACCGTATTGTCCATGCTTTGCCTTTCTCGGGCGGCTTCGATCTATCTGAGATCCGTTGCATCGTTCCATCGCGATTCCAGGTTGAGCCCCAACACTCCAAGCCATGACAACCTGGTACTAGTGATTCGCAATTGAATCGGCAGCGCTCACTGAGCAATCGCCCGTCACCGCTGGCTCATGGTAGCAGGCTATGTAGTCAGGCCTATGTGCCAAATTCGATTAGCGTTTCGCCCACAGACACCGGAAGGTCCAACCCTTTGGAGTCGCTGTGTCAAAGTATGTTTCCGAGGGGGTAGGGTAACGCAATTCGAGTAATGATTTTGGTATTGTTTCATCATATTCAGACACGATTCACCAGAAGACCAAAAGGAAAGCCATCAAAATAAGCACTAAACCCATAACCAGCGCTGTATGAAAAAAAAAAAAAGTGATCCCAAGCAAATAACAAAACGGGCCATAGCCCATAATCCACGAATAGAAGAATAGGATAAAATATAGAACCCCAATCCAGAAAACAGCGCAGTGTCAGTCAAAAGTCAACGCACGAAATCATCGGTCTCATCGTATTGGACCAATGTCATCGGGGTCCACGCCCCCTACCCTTGCTCAACCTTGGGCTCCTTGCTATCCACATCCATAGGCGTGGCCCCGTCATCAGCGCCCGTCTCGCCGGCCTGCGCGTCCGACAGTGCATCCCGGTTATCCCCTTCAGCAGGAGTCTCGGCATCCTGTGTACCATTGCTACCGGACTTCACGCGGAACGACGAGGTGAGCTCCTGTTGACTCGGGGCCGGAGCTAGGCGTGGTAGAGACGCGGAATTTGCATCACCGTCACCTCCCTCGCCGGCGTTGTCCTGGGCCGGGGTATCTTCGTCGCCGCCTTCGGCGGGCATGTTTGATTTGCGGGAGCGCTTGACGCGAAGTGGGCGTTCTTCGGGCTGTGAGTGTGTGAGACGGAGATTAGCATGAAGCTCGTAAGATCAATCCGATCCCTGGAAAACGTAGAATGAACTGCCAACTCTACATATAGCAAGACCAGACAGAAGTCCCAGAATCCAGAACGAATCAAGCCAGTCGAAAGAGAATTGAACGTACAGTAGGAGGTTGCTCATCCGAGCTACCCTCAGTCTCATCCTCCAGGTACCCCCCATTCGCACTCTGCGACGCCCCCGAGGCACCAATACCGTTCAGCACCGCCGCATTAGACATCATAGCCGCAGCCCGGGCACGTAGTTCCGGGTCCGCCGTCCCAGCAGCGGCCTCGTCAGCCATGCCGGTGACCTTGGCGAGTCGCTCCAGCAGCATGCAGGACTCAAGGCGCATCTTCTGAATATATTGGTAACCGCGGAGGTTGCGGGTGCGCATAATCTCATTTTCTGCTTCGACTTCGGCGAGGCGTTTCTTGAGGGCGGCGCATTTGCGCTTGTAGGCGATTTCGACGCTGGGTGGGTTTGGGGTTGCTGCTGGGCGGGTTTCCATTGTGGTGGTTGTGAGGGGGTGTGAGTAGGATTAGAGAAGAAAGAAGGTAGATATGTATTGAAGGGCGCAGGTGGTGCTTTTGAGTGGTGTTGGCTTTACAATTGAGAGCCAATGGATGGATAAATGGGTGTGGATTGAGAGGGAGAGTTCGGAGTGGATGCGGTTGACACGGAGCGTGGGAAAAAGGCGGGTAAGGACGACACCGGCAATGTGAGCTCCACAGACGAGGTATATACCAGAATTTTTCAATGGGTATATAAGCTATGAAAAATCACAAAGCGCTGTCAAGGACCGGTTTCTGGCGCGCAAAGGAGATGAAGGAGTCGAACGTTTCTACGGCGCGATATGTTTCTGCCGCGATATCAAAGGCGGTGAATGCCTTCCCAATGGTCATTTGCAATTGCATTTCATAGCTAAACTTGATAAACTGAACAAAAACACCAGGAACACCAAAGCTAGTACACGCTTGCCCGATCCACTATGTGCTTCTATTTAATGACCACCGGTGGTGGGGAGGCCCAGGAAGACCTTGAACGAGTCATAACTGTTGCAATAGTCAGCTACCGATGCTCGGATCAGTTCATACAATGGATGCAACTTACATCAACCACTGGAAGCCCGTGAGAGTACCCAGCATGACGATACGCACTGGCAGGCCATTCCACAGACCAGAGAAGCCAATGTTACCGTAGATTCGAGAAACTGCCTTCATGGCACCCTCACCAGCTATTCAATCCGATCAGTTCATATCCTACCCGAGCTTCTCAAGGGACATCGGATAACTCACGCTTTCGATCGGCATTCAACTTGCTCACCATGACATCGGCCGGATGACTGACGACCGCACAGAAGATACCAGCAATATATCCACCCAAGAAACTCACACCGGTCTGCGTCAACTGACCGTAACTCTCCTTTGGCTTCCCCAGATACCGATAAATCTGGTTCACCGTCTCCTCAAAGGTCGCAAACTTGGTCATAGTGTAGGGAATCTGGCGCGCCCATAGTGGATACAATCCCCGATACAGACCAGCCATTCCCTCCTTCGCAACAACACGGCTCCAGCCTTCGCGCAGGTTATTCGCATACGGCGGCAGTGTGGTCTGCATGCGGACCTTGATAGCCTCGAGCGGGCACAGGGCCATATCGGCGAAGAATTCGGCCGATGCAGATGCACCCAAGAAGACCAGAGTGCGGTTAGACTGGGGGAAAAGCGTGTCGCCATACAGATGCTTGAAGTACTCGTAGAGACCGTACTTGCCGGCACCTTGGAAGGAGTAGCCCAGGAAGGTGGGCGACCAACCGAAGAAGACGCCGCGCAGGCCCTCCTTGGCGAAGATGGAGCGCCATGCAGAGATGTTGGATGTGTAGATTTTGGGGTCGACTTGACGACGGCACTTGACGAGATCAAGGGGTGTGACGGCGGTGTGTGTTGGACCTACGTGAGACGAGATATTGGGTCAATTGAGATGCGGGGAAAGGGGAGAGCGATAGAGACGGAGCTACGAGGAACATACCACAAGCTATACACAATCGTCAGTATTCAGATTAGCTACTGCCATAATGATCATCACTTGAGCAAAGCCGAGACTGAAGACATACCGATAATGCCGCCAAGAGCACAGCTGAGGAAATACTTGCCCGAGTTGGGCTCAATCTTCCCAAAGGGAAGCTTGCGTTCTTGCAGGGCCATGGTTGCCGGTGTCTAGTCCCAGATCTTAGACTTTCTATGAATGCGATGTATGGCACAATTGTAACTGGAAAGAAAGGAAGCGAAAGAAGAGAAAATATATCGTAGGAAGGAGAAAGTGCAAGGCACAAGGAACCGGATAAGAGAGCACGAGGGCCGAGTAACCAGGATTAAAGACCAAAAAAACCCATGGCGTCAGTGCTCCCCTCCCATTCCTACATTAATGCATTGCTTATCCTACGGTGTTTAGTCGCGTTATCCACTATGAACGAACGGGCCCGACGGGAACGGTTACGCCGGCACAGATTGGGGCTGGGGGGCCTGGACTGGGACGGGCTTATCAGCTGCTGCGATCGTGGCTCTTCCCAGTAACTTGCTCCGACGCACGCCCTTGATCTTGCCGGTCCGGCCATGTTTCGGTTCCTGAGGATTTATTGGTCTACTCATCTCATACCTTTTTATATCTCGATGCTTGTCTATGAGTGATACTCTGCCGATATCCAAGCTGTGTTCCCGCAGCTCGAGTCCATGGGCCCTGCCAATGACGTCACGATATCCGAGCGGTGCCGCCGACTCCACCGAGCCCACTCATTACGGAGTATGGAGTACAAAAGTCTAGGCTAGGAGTGACTATATTGCAGTTATGTGTGATCGTGCTGGGTTATTTTATGACCGGCGAATAATAAGCCATATAATTCCGTTCATAGATAGTTGAGTAGTTATTCCAATACTGAGTTAGAAGTCTATCGCTAGTTTACTACTTAGTTCACCCAGTGTCACTACTTCGTCCTTTTCCCGCCAGAGGTCTCTATTCTTTATTACTGCGTTAGTCGCCCTGGGCTAGAACAACATTGAGGTAGACCGTTATTCGGATTAACATATGTCCAAAGTCTAGGACTACCAGATCCAGAACATCAAGCTAGCGAAATCAGTTCCGACTTTGCGGCATCACAGGTAGGGACGAGGTTATCTCCTCAACATGCCACGCGCGCTATCGAAGTACCATCAGCAGAGTGAATTCCTGCATCGGGACCAGATGGTTCCTGATGCTGCCGCTAGCATGGATAATTAATAGTTTTCAGGGGGTGAGACTGCGTTTCTTGATACTATTGTGTGTGGGTTTGAAGACATCAGTTGGATGGCGCTGAATGACAAGGGTGGCACGTTGCTTGGAGTATGGTATCTAAGATGAGACAATTGTCGAAATAAACATTATCCATTACGGAAATCTGCTGTTAAATGGAAAGATTCTCGATCAGTGGCAAATTGACGATGTCAAGCCTAGTCTAGGCATGATAGGGCATATTACTGAAAGACAAAAGGTCCACGGTAATCAAGCTTGCATATCTCATTATGATGTTTATTGTATTCAAAACCAATTATTATGACTATTTACAGTCTCCGTTCACCCCTCACGACCAGATATCAATGGAGATGCGGCCAGGCAATGCTACATTCCAATATGGGATGTGTACTTTTACCCAAATGTATACAAAATTATGCGACAAACGTACAACTCGCATCTGGCATCTATGCACTAGAGAAAGTGGTTCCTACCATCTCTAACTACGAACCGTCCACCGTTGTTTCAGGCGGCTGCGAATCTCCACGCATCCGCTCTGCTTCACGCGCTAGAATCAGCGCTAGTTTGATCCCGAGCGAGGATCCAACTCGCGAGAGCACAGTGCGGATTTGTTGGGCCTGGATTGGGGTCGGCATCCCGCAGGACAACATGTACCACCATGGCCAGAGCATACCATAGCCCTGTGCGGCACGAATCGACCGTGATTTGTCTTTGGGATTCGTAGGTCTTCCAAGGGTGTCGACGTCTGATATAGAAAAGGGAAGGCTTCGACACGTATCTGTTGTCATTTCTTGTATGACAGCTCGTAAAGTATTCTCGTCGAGTTTGCCCTCGACCGGTGCTGGGTCACCGGGTTGTTGATTCTTCTGATTAATAGAGATGAGAGTCCGATTGAGGTTGAGGAGGAGTTGTTGAAGCATCACGCGGACAGCGCGGTAGTAGCCCCAGATCACGGCGTTGGAGATGCGGTTGTAGGTTAGGAGAGATTCGCCTCGAGCGGAGTAGACGACTAATGGGAGCCAGCGGTCTGGGAGGTGAAGCGACCATTGGGAGAGTGCAAAGTCACACTCTTGGCCAGTGGCAATCCAAGATTCAACGGTGGCCTGGTCTGGCGAACTTGGGCCAGCTTGCATGGATAAAAAAAGTTGACTGAGTTTAGTTGCCGAGAGCATAAGACTCTCGATGGGGTCGTTTTCATTCAGCATGCCCATGACCCAGGCAAAATCGCATCGAGGTTTGTCTCCCAGTGCGAGGATCTCAACATACTGGCGGAGCGAATCTATTAGCAAGAAATAGCTGATAAGGAACGATAGAACATACCGTATGCGTATAGGCGAAACTGAACATATCACGCCCTCGCTGATGACCCAACTGATCCTCGCCTCGCAATTTCATGAGAAACTCAAACCCAGCCGTGTGGGAACTAAACAAGCCATTCCGTTCGCCGGTGATATCTTCAAACAACGAGAGAAGCACCACAGACGCAAAAGTTTCATCCTTGACCGCCTGATCCGGCGAAGCCAGCGCCGTCCGCAGACTGCGAATCGCCTTCCCATAGCCCTGTCGCGCCTTAACCATCAGCGGCGGCGCATTTGTCGCATTAGCTAGAGTCATCAGAGCCGTGGCATCCACAGCCCACCGCAGACACGTAGACGGTGAGCTCCCGTCTCCAGGGCTGACCTCACCGCATCGCGCATATAGTGGGGGTAAATACTCGAGATGGCCCATGCCATCCTCATTATCAGAGTTGATGGTGTATTGATCAAAAAAATAACATAGAGCGCGCTGTTCCCAAGTTGCATCTTGGACGCGGTGCAGCGTCAATGCCGACTGTTGAGACGAGAGTGCTTGCTTCTCCGTGACAGTCGAAGATTGAGATTTTGGCGTGTGTACTTGACTCGTAGGTGCAGAAGAACTGGAGCTTGAACTGGAGCTTGAGCTCGCATCTTTCTTGGCTAGCCGCTCAACCTTCCTGGTCTCGTTGCGGAAGACTGCATCGGGCCGGTAGCCAGGGCATGGGCGCCCGTAGACATTACAGTTTCGACAACTGGGGCGGGCTTCATCGCACTAGAGAGTTGATTTAGTATGTATTGACAACAACGGCCGCTCAAGAGGGTAAGGGCGTATAAACAATCATCCCAAAATGCCAACGGTGGATATCCAAGACTTTGTCAGATGTTTTTTTTTCTTTCTCGCTTTCTTACCTTGATCTTCCGCTTTCGACACAGGTAACATCCGGTGCTCGGCTTACCCCCATAGACCATCGTTCAGCCCCAACAAAACCAAGGCGGGCACAGCAAAAGCTCCGGAAATTGCGATGGAGTAAAACGTGACTAAAACCCGTCCTCCGAACCGCTAGGTGCGCAAAGAGGCTCGCGCCTTTTAGATCTGGGGGAGATGGGTTCCACAAACGGGGGGAACGGGCGCGCTTATCACGGGCTGCAAATCAACTCGGCTGCTTGATCCGAGAGCCTCCCGTGTGCATCGTAAAGAGCGAGATACACAGCGCGGGCTTGGAAACAAATTATTTAAACTGGAGTATCGGGGATCAAGTTTTGTGGAGCCCGAATAGAGGAGGCAAGAACGAGAGAGAGCGAGGAAGGAGGGGGGTTTCAGACTGATTTAGGTGAAAGCTTCTTTGAGACTTCCCCGGTTGGCAGTGCGGATTCTCGCGGGCTTTGGATATTAGTCAGCTCTGTCTTGCTCAGGGGGGTGCCAATGCCCTTTGAAAGATCCCTTTTAAAGATATATTTGTTTGAGATATAGGAATAAGCAAAAAAATTGAAACATTGTCAGGCCTCAAGGTTGGGGTCATCTGACCGTAATACTAAGATCCGGGGCAAACAATTGACCTGGTGGCGTTGCGGCTGCATGAGGTGATGGGCTTTGGATCGATCATCAAGTACTCATCGAGTCGGTAGAAACAATGGAAGCATCGGGTGACAAATTACATCGCGCAACTACTGGAATGAGGCTCTTGCTGTGCATCGATGAGGGGATTTGCAGTTCATTTGGGTGCATATGGATCGAAGTGATGAGCGCAAAAATAATAAGAAAGAATCCCAATGCCAAGGTATCATCAGTCTCCTAAAATCGAACAAGAAGACTAGACTCCGAAATGACTCAGACCAGCCCAGTGACTGGAAAAAGAGTAAGAGGCCTCGAGGGCGTCGAGAACGATCGGATTCAACACCAAGACAACTACACAAAACGACCACTCCTCTCCACAACGAGGAAAAACAAACTCCACAAATGACAGGCCTTTTCTCCAGAATCAACAAGATCGAAAATAAGAATTGCAACACCAAATATGCAATGGCTCGGTGCTGTGGAAAGCACGGAGCATGGCGAATGGGATGAGTCTGGGTTGTGGAAATGCCAGATTACTCAAGAGGTCAAAACAAATCAAATATGCTTCGGAATAGCCAAAAGAAAGATTCAAGAGACGGAAATCCCCCGGCGCTGGTACAACAAATGATGGATATCCGAAGTCGTTAAGTAGATAGATTGCGAACTATATTGGAGCGATTATTTCGATTATCGGGGGCTGGGTTGAATCAAGATGGCGCGTCAGGCATGGGTTGGTCACGGTCGCTGACAGGAGGTATCGTAGAAGGTATCGTCGGTGGAGGGTCGGAGAACATAGCGCGACGGCGAGGGTTGACGGAGAGTTCAGTGTCGACGGTCGAGCCGATGCCGGGCGTACTGGAGGCACTCTCGATAGCCACAGCATCATCGGCATCATCTGGTGGTGGAGAGAAAGACCAAACCTGAGTGACGGTAAGCAAATGCACGAAAAGAGAGAGCTAGATGGGCAAATAGACAACGACATACCTCCATGACCGTTCGACCAGACCGACTCGCCATAATCACAGCTTTCTCGTCTTCGAAAGCAACCCTCCAAACCGCCTCGGCTGGGCTCGACAATTCCCGCAGCAGCTGACCGGTTTGCAAGTTCCACACCTTAACGCGGCCATCACTGCCGCCACTCACTATCCTGGTATTATCAAACTGAAGACTAGTCACGCTATTGTCATGAGCCGCCAACCGGTGGATCGGGGCCATCTTAGTCAATGACCAAACCCGGACGGAACCATCCGAGCCACCAGTAACCAACGTATCGCCACGCATTTGCAATTGTCCTACCAGGGACGTATGCCCTTGCAGAATAGCGTGGCACTGGCCGGAATGTGGGTCCCAGATGCGGACGCTCGTGTCCAAGCTTCCCGTTGCGATACGCCGCCCATCGAAGGCGATCGCATAGATCTGGCTGAAATGACCGGACAGCGTCCGTATACAGCGACCTTGGGATATACTCCATATTCGAGCCGTCGTATCGTAACTGCCAGATACGACGAGATCACCATGGATCGCTAGACAGCGCACACTTGCCTGATGCCCGACAAGGACATTACGACATGTCCCCGTGGCGAGATCCCATATACGAAGAGTCGTGTCTCTTGAGCCCGAGATGGCTGTATTCCGATCGGACATTTTGAGACATCGGACTGTTGACGTGTGGCCACGCAACAGATGAATGCCCGCACTAGAATAGAGAAAATTCATCAGCTTCTGCGAAGTTTGCCGTGCGGAACCCGAAACTTACCCAGTCGCCATGTTCCACACTCGCACCTCTCGATCACATCCTCCGCTGACCAAAATGTCGTCCCAAGGAACCATGGCCCAGACCCCCATCACGTGTCCTTGGAGGGTCTTTTGGTTGTCCCCGTTGGTATCGTAGACATGAATCTTAGCATTATCCAGGGCCACGACGATATATTTCGAGGTGAGGTGTAGACTCGTGACCACACCCTGGTCAGGGGTAATATGACGCTGCGTACACCTGCCACCTTTATTCCACGCTGATTCCACCATATACTTCTGCTTGAACTGGGATCGATATGACACCGGCCGAGTTCGGCGCCGCCGTGATGGGAAGCTAGTCGGGGGCAGCCATTCGCCCGATAGCGTGCGGGGTAGCTCAGGGGCACTCTCAACGGAGGAGTGGTCGGTTGATGCCGTTAACCGTCGGAGACTGGCCATAGCGCGCGAGTCCGAGGTCGGTTCGACGGAACGAGCGGTAAACGAGTCCAAGTCATCCTCTTCCGAGATGCGACGCACCGCATAAGCATGTTTCTCGCAGAGGTTCTTCCAGGTAATATCATCGTTGAGAAGTTCGCGCCATCGTCGGGATACCTGCGACGCTCGGGCAAGAGTCTTCGGGTCGTCGATGAACGATAAGACCTAAAAGTTACGGTGACACCCGGTCAGCCCTTGATTCATGCTGTCCAGCTCGTCGGGGACTCGGCAGATATCTTACTCTCAAGCACAGCTCATTTGGAAACACCTGAAATGGATCCTTTCGTAACCTGGGCCCAACGTAACTCGAGACAAAGCTCAGCTGTTGGCTATCACAAACATCCAAGATACTTTCGAGGAGTTTCTGCTTGCGGAAGTTGGACAACGTGCTGAAGTGGATGCGCAGATTCAATAGAAACGTATTTTCCTCATCGTCGGCGGATTGCCAGTTCGGTGGACGCTGGTGGGGTGTAGGACTGGGCGCGGGAGTTGGGGGAGATGCGGGAGCTGACGGGAGTAGGTTTGCGGGAATCGGGGTGACGGTTTTCTTGGAGGCGCTGAGGGAGCGAGCAGGGGTGGTAGTAAAGGAGGAGACGGAATCGCGAGTTGAACTCGTCGAGAGCGAGTCCAGCTGATCGGAGATGGGCTGCGAACTTATCGGCCCATCGGCCATGTCACTGAAAGCTGGATCGGGATCCATCGCAAGAGGAACCCCGACGGGGAGGACGAGATCCAGGCCCGCTGGTATGGTTTCGTCACTTTAAAAGGATTGTTCGAAAAAGGTACTGCCGTGCGCCAGTCAAGCTTTCACCAGCCGGCATATAGAAAATATGAGAAGACCTTTTTCAGGTGGCGGTCTAGGGAACAGAGGGAGAATTTCGGAGAGCGGTATGAGGGGCGTCGGTGTCGTCGTATCGGGAGGCTGGCCACGGGGTGACCGAGGGTGGACAAGGGGAGTCGACGACGAACTGGAGATAGGCGCGAAGGGTCGGGTGTCGACCGTTCCTGACTGGCCGATGCAAGTATTTCTTTTTTTTTTCTGACTTCCTTCACACTCCTCCCCGAGGATTAGCCCAGGCAAAAGGCGGAAGAATGGCGGAGAGGTTCGATCAGAGAAAGGGACATTCCCGGCGGAGTCGATGTCGTGACCGGCCTTCATTCGACTGACAAAGCCGCCAAGCTCCCCCCGAGAGGGCTCCACTCCGCAGATGCGATGAAACACTCCGTGTATTCCGCCTTCATCTGATGCCCCATGATGGGGGAAATTCCGGGGCAAGATGCGACTGGATAGATAGGGACACTTGAGCCTCCCGTCTTCTCCTCGCTGGTATTAGGATGGCAAGCTTCGTTCGTCAGAGGCAACGAGGCAACGAAGCAGCCCCTAACCAGCAGATCAGGTGGCTAAACGGGCGTTCCCCAGATCGACGGCCGAGATAGTACCAAAATGGGCCAAAGAAAAAAGGCAGCCAATCTACGCCTCCCGTCTGGCGCCCAGATTCCAGGCCTTCCAAGCGCGCGCGACCCGGTCCGATGTCTGCAATGCCCGCGATTGCCCGTTGCTGACTTTGGCTGCCTCGTGGGTTAATTTCGATGCCGTCAACTAGATCGGGGGTCTTTAGCTTACTTAGATCACCGATATCGACTATGCAAATCGTCCCGAGTCCGTGGGTGACCGAGCGGCTCGTTGACAGTTCGACCATGGATCGACCCGTCAGGCGAAGATGATTCAGACTGACGAGACTGACGAATGTTTTCATCACCCACCCTAGCATGGTGATTAAAAAATGAGCGCGGTCGCCCACGTCGAGGACGCGATGCCTTCGAGGGCTCCGGGTATTTTATAACAGAGTAACACGGGGTTCAGACGTTGACTCGCGCCTAACGTCAGGCTACGTCGATGTGATCGTGGGAGAAAAACATGCAATTATGACCACCGCGGCACGCCTGCATTATAAAGAAGAGAAAAAACAAATCTAGTAGCGCAGTTGGATTCCTCCCCCGTGATTTTCATCCAACGAGGCATCTCACAGAGAAAGAAGTAAAAGAGAATAGGAAGTGATGATATGGAGGACAATGAGCAAACGAAGTAATAAAAGGGGAAAAAAGACAAAAGGTCATCCAAGATTGGTGTTTCTAGCAACAATTGTCAAACAAGAGGGTATATGGGCCCGAGTCATTCTCGTTGAAATGCCAAAACGGCCAAAGATAGCAGAGGAGAAGAGATCGTCACACGGAACTCATGCCAATGATGAGTTGTATGCAATGAACAGGGTGATTGTGAGAAATGAGAGAAACGGTGTTTAATGAGCATGTCCAATCTGCAAGAAGAGCGGCAGGATCATGCCCAGCACGGATGCAATCAAGTCGCGCATCGACTTATCCGACCCGTTCGGCGAGTCACGAGAGTCTCCGTAGCCATTTGAGGACACCTGCCGTGAGTTCGAGCCTGGTCCATTCTCTTGCATCGTGTGCATAGCAACATATCTAAGCCATAGTTAGTACCTCTGCAAACACACCCACCCGCGATAGGATACTCACAAGAAAGTGCCGCCGGAGAAGAGCAAAAGCATTCCAGTGCGCCATAGAGAGCCAGCCTCGTCGCCGCTGGGAGATCCAACCACATGTGCAAAGAGGAAAGTGGCCAATGCGCCGACCGGAGCGGCCAGACTAAACACCAACAAATGCGCCCTCGCCGTGCGGCTCGACAGGCCCTGCTTCAACAGAATCGATGTCAAACCGAAGGAAGCAGGTGCCTTGTGTACCATGATGGCTAGGAAAATAATGAAGCTGAGTCCCGTGTCCGTGCTGGATGCGCCCAATGCGATACCGTCTGCCGCCGCATGAATTACCAAGCCCGTCGTGGTTGCAAAGCTATGGCCGCGGCGAGAACTCGAGTGGCTTGCGTCGAGGAGACCACCATTGCGCATGGGGGAGGAACTGCGCCGAAGGCCGGACCCAAGATTATCGAGAGAGATGTGATAGGGCTGTCGGTCAGGTTTGGTTGGAGATGCGAACTCGGGGATTTTATCGATAAGGTACATCAGAATGAATCCACTGATGAGGGCGATACCGATCCAGGCATGCGGGGAGCTCTCTTCTTCCTCCTCTTTTTGTTCCTTCTGCTTTTCACTCGAGGTCTCGTCCTTGCGCGCAATCAAGACATGTGGTCCCTCCACGGCTGCTTCTCTGTCGGTGAGCGGCAGTAGGTGTTCACTCTCGAATTCAAGGAAGGACGCGGGTGTGCCAGAGGGCAATGCAGATGCACGGCCATCTCCGTTCAATATTGGGGTGGAAACGAGCCCCTGCGAGGGCCAGTCGACATTGGTAGCGCGGCCGCCGATACTTTTGCGGTTGATAGAACTGGCGCTGTAGAGGGTCTCAACGCCCTCGGGTATAATCACGATCAAAGAAGTGCCAACCAACACTCCCATGCCAATTGAGGAGATTAGTCGTAGTTGCGAGGCGGATAGTGTAAAGGCAAGAGGTAATGAGCCGACAACAAATGATCTACGCGAATCCAAGCGACGTTAGCTCCTTTTCCAGGTTGTTTTGCAATCCCTCCAGTCTAGCAATGGGATCTCACGTCACTGCCATCACAATGCTCAAAGCGAGCAGAGTGAAGAGTCCTTCCATGGTGTCCTTTTGTCCTCTTGTCCCGAGCTTTCGCACTTGTGCCACCAGCTCTACAACGAGTCAATCATGGTGCCCAAGCCGGTAGATGGGATGATTAGAGTAGCAGCGAATGCACCCGATCGAAAATTGCGGGTGTTCGGGGATTTGGAATGAGGAAGGGGAAAAAGTAGCGGTTGTTCAAGGGCGATCGAAGACGGAGGAGGGAGGAATGGCGAGACTTTGGAGGACCCACGCGGCCTGAGGTTCTCCGAATCTCTTCTCAGGTACCGCCCGCTAAATTTGGATCAAAAACATGTCGCATGCTGATTCGGGGCCAAACTTTTGCGCAAGAGAAATGATCCTATTATTTCTCTGTTCTGTTTATACTTTACAATTAATTTAAATCAAATCCTGAAATCGGATTAGCTTTCTGGTCGGCTCTAAGATCTACCGTCCACCATAAGAAGAGCCGTTGCTCCACAGTAAGAGCAGACCAGATGATCTGGCCTTTAAAGTAGTTGATAGTATCCGGCGGCACCACTTTAACGGGCGTAGTAAGTCACGACGAAAGCCCCAGTACACTGTCAGGTCGTCAAAATCTTCTTGAGGGGATGTTGAAGTCTTTCTATGGTACCGACAATTCTTTTCTGTGGGGATACAAGACCAGGCCAATGTCTGGAACAGCGTGGCGCTATACCTGATTGCGCAGTTCGCCAGAGAGTCGCGAGAAGAGAGGAACGGAGATGATGCGGCTTCCAAGGTTGACATGCTGTCTCTCTTTCCTAGCGTGGGCCTTGAGTTACCGAAGCCTCAACAGTTATTTCAATGGAAAACCCTCAGCTTCATGACGGATTGACGTGCCGAGTCGTCGTCAGTATCCTTGACCAAAAGTGGAGGCCGGTTGAACGCAGCACGAAGCCTCGTATCTCAACAGGGCATACACATGTGACCAGGGATCGAATAAGCCCGAATTAGCCTTATCGCTCGTTCAAGTGGCGTACTATATGCGTTAGACTTCAGATGAATTCAAAACTATTATATCCCTTAAATCGTATAATCAATTAATGTGAAATTAAGCCACGACTGATAAGCTATCTAAATCGAAGCCATTGACGCCCGAGTCATTCTAGCGGGATACATCCAGACCGAGCAAACAACTGTGAAAAAACATCATGCATGTTGCTTCGCGTCGACATCCACCAACTCTACCGCACTGTTCGTCTCCGATCGGGAAGTATAATTCACCGAATAGCTGACCGACTTGTTGATATTACTGTTTCCCCCGGTATGTCTGTTGTAGCCTTCCATTGTGTGTGAAGCGTACGTTCGGCGCGCAGATCCAATCAAGCCCGGGAACCAGCGACCAACGAGGGCTCTGAATGCAGGAAGGCAGGCACACATGATGGAGATCTGGACCTCGATCACGGACCAGTGGATAAGAGGAAACAACCCGACGGTCTGATTGATGCCCCAGCGATTTTCCCAGAATACGACGACTCGAATGATGGCGATAATCGTCAGGCTGGTAGATGAATTAGCATAAACGGTCAAACTCAGAAGGATAAGGGGGGATACATACACCGATCCCACGGTGAACATCAATCCTACGGCCAGCTTCTTTTTCAGTGGTAGCTGCAATTTGATCACCTCCCATACGGGCATCAAGATCAGGACAGAGTCAACAAAGATATTGACCAGGCAGTTGATCAAAATAGAGATGACGAAATTGATGCACTGTCCAGACTCCTCACCCATCCAGCCAGTCCACGTTAAGCGGGTAGGCAAGCAACGGAAGGAATCAACGAAAGCCCAGGAAATGCCGATGGCGGCATTTACACCGATCAGAGCGTATGCGATATATCGGAACGAGCGGGTCTGGAAGATTCGGAGGAGGAACAGGCATACGGAGATCTTGCAAAGGGAAATCTGGATCTTATACATCACGGCGAGGCCTTGGAAGAGCTGGGCTGGGTTAGACTTTGAGGCTGGAGATTGCAGAGATACGAGCTCACCTGGTAGAACTTGGTGATATCGGAGAACGGTACATCCCAGATGTTGCGGCCAAAGCCATAACGAATCACTAGCTTTGATTAGTCCAAGTCGATAGATCCAGTGTCGTCTTTTGGAAAAAGATATACTTACTCGTGCAGTTAATAGCATAGATAGCAACGCCTAGTATCTTTCAAGATATCAGTATCGCCTAGGAGGGTGAGGGTATTTGGGTAGCTCACAAAGGCAACAATGATAGTGTAGTCATCCCAACCCCATCCTCCTGCAAGTCCACTACTCTTGGCAATGATTCTTGTAATAAAGAAGAAAGTGGCCAGAATGAAAGGAATCAACGTTGAAGGATTGATCATGGAAGGGGCTTGACGAGGTGTAATGTTGCACTCGTTCTCATATAGTCTGTATGTGGCTGAGAAAGTTAGTCCCGGACGCTGTCGATCAGACATATGTGAAACATACTAAAGTACTCCTTCACAGTACAGTTGCTCGAAACACAGCTCAGCAACGAAGTTGGACGCGAGTCACTAGCGCAGAAGCAGGAAGTGCGATTGAGGGAGCAGTCAGAAAATAGTTGATCATTGCAAGTAATCTAGCCATGAACAGTCAGCAAGAGATAAAAAGGGAGGTTTCTTTGGAGTTCTTCATACTGCACATGAAGGAAACTCATTCAGGGCCACCTCTGCTGCATGCAACCCTATCACGAGCAGAGCCAATAGAACAAACAGACACCGATGAAACCTCATGGTGACGGAGTAGGCAATTGCAAGTATACCTGTACAAAGTAACGAGAAGGAGAAACTTCAGTCTTAGCTGGGATACCGGCTGCTTTTGTTTCGGCATCGGTATTTCCGTCCCGGTCAAGCTGCGTGGAGAATTGTCTTACGTGCGCCGGGCCAGAATCTCGATCTCCACAGCTAAGGGTCATGTATTTCGCACGATGGCATCGAAGTCTCGGCTCCAAGCGCTGTTTATTCATCGTAGACTATTGTACTCTGGACCGCGGATCCTCGGTCCAGTGAAACGAGCCCTAAAATGTTTCCACCGGCGAACGCTTGATTGGGAAGGTGGTCCGCTCCATCTCTCCTCCATTTTTTCGGCTTTCTCATGCATTGGGGGCAAATATCTTGTGAGGGTCCACAGAACTCCGATTGTCTCCGCTCAGATCCAAGGGTAAGTTGACTTAGTTCAGCCTCATAGGAACTATCACTGACTCGAAAAAACGATGACAGCATCGACGCCAGCCGATTTGAACTACAACACGTGGCATAGATCTAGTCCCTGAGAACCGAACTTGAGAAAAACTTAATCGCCGCGTGGCTTGGAGGCCCAATTTTGAATGCATATCACTATCTAGATCGGGATTTTATGCTAGTGTTACAGCTTGAGTAGTAGCCTTGTCGTTTTGAGAAGTGGAACGGATTGTTGATCTCGGTACCAACAGCTGATCGACCACCTGGGAGTGAAAATACCCCACGCAATACGAACACAGCTGAGCTGTCCCCGATAGAAGTGCCATGTGCCTCGTGAAATTATATTGGATTCGCTCTGAAATCACAACTCAGAAGTGGGGAGGCTGAAGGAAAACATGAAAAAATCCCTGGCCTAGCCAGACTAGCCGAAAAGGGCATATTCGCCCATGCCAAGACACGGCCGTTCGAGCTTTGCAAGAAGGGGTAACGCCACAACTACGTTTCCATGTGTAATTAACCTTGTGTGCTAGATGCTTGAATTGCAGATTCGTCAACTCTTCTCTAGCCCTTCGTTGACATCCAAGACTTGATCTAGTATTTGAACAAACAAGTGTAGGTACGGAGAACCTCGATGGTACATTGGGTTTTTCTTTTCCAATGAGGTTTGTGTGAGTAATAAGAAACGTTAACCTCGGCAAATTCCCTTCGAGTTTTTCTTCTTGAGAGGTGGCGCTCTATTGTCTAGTACCTGCGTCGTTGTATCTTGAAGGCAAGTATACACAGCCTACGCTAGGCGGAGTCCATGAGACCGACGCCGATCCAGCAGCAGGACTAGCAAGTAAGCCTTTGCATACATATATAGTAAGGCCACTCACAAGATTTTTTATCAAAAAAGAGTGTGCAAATTGCGACAGTACAGAAATGATGACCTAAGTTTGCACCGAACGATCAGTGGGCATGTTACGTCTGTCTAAGCTGATCCAGGAGCTTATGTATAGGGAATACCAGGTAATCTGTAAATCTCGAAGCTTGAATTTTAAGTATATAGACGGATCATGCATATTAGAGCTATCATCGGTGTTCCCGCCAATATCAATAAGGTTAGTACTGTGCCTCGTTTTCCGAGCATGAATGTCAACAATTACCCGACCCAGACTCGTGCTAGACATATGTTCCCGAGCACTGACCTTCCACGACAAGCAATTCCCAGTCGGTGACCATGGAACAATCTTCCTTTACCTCAATCCGTTCAGCTTATTCTAGTAGTGAAAGACACATTAGAATGCAAGGCTCTCATATTAGAGGTCCCAGCTGAGATGGTATGGTAGCAGATTGTCTCGAGGGAGCTAGGACATTGACAATGCAGTCAGCAAACGTCAAACGTTCGGATAGCTGCTGTTGGGCAGTCAGTCAGCATGCATTGAGGCTCTCACATTGTTCGTAAATTATTTCAACCAATATATCAACCACGAAAAAGTTGCCAATCGGCAAGAGGTGCTTGTGTGGGTAGTATTCGGGAGCGCTAGGGGTTCAGACACTGGCTATGATGTTTGCCAATACTGGAAAATAAATTCAGTCATCTGATCCCAGGTATTTAGAGAAATGATCATCGCGGCAAAAGGATGTGTTATTTTAACATTAATAGTGGAGCATTTTCTCCACGTTTGACGTTTCAAACACCAAAGTGCGCCTCTAGAAGGCCCATCGAAGATGTTTTCAGCGCGGTCACAGCACCAATCACAATGATCCGTGAGACCCGGACGATCACAGCGACAGATTGGTTACGAGAACGACCAATGGAATATACATAGCGTCAATATAACGGGGTTTGACCTTGAGGTAAATATCAGGAATAAAGAGCTTTTCTCAAGCCTCTCATGCGAGGAAAGTTGGATGAATGAACTGACTTGTGTTTGACTGACGTGCTTCGCGATACAACGATCGGCGTTTTTCTTTTATGTCTAGTATCGAAGGGGTCACGCTGAATGATGGACTTGAGATAAACTAGACGAGAGTTCTAGTACTGCGGTGAAATCGTCACGCCAGTTGGGTATTGATGTTGTCGACCGTCGACCCTGTTTGTAACGAAAAAGAAACCACGGTGACCACCACGCCTGCATCGAATAGGGGTTTAGTTTGATGTCGTTGTAAGCTCTACTACGGATTTGGATGAAAGTATATTTTCAAAGTCGGTTTTCGGTATGAGGTTATATATAAATGTCCTTGTTCTGAGCCCATAAGTAATCAAGAAGGAGCCGTGTGCACTAAGCGAAGGAAGATAAGCTGTAGAGATGAGATAGAAGAGGGGCACAGAGATTCCTTCATAGGTCACATCAAGCAGATCCCTCGTTAGTAAGGGCTCTCAGCTCCCTCACATCAGGTGAAGTTAGAAGTGCATAGTGGCTGACAGTTTCCATCAAATGGGAGTAAAGAGGAATGATTGACTGGAGTTGCCCTGGGTTGGCTACGGTCGGTCTAGAACAAAAATACCTGTACTTCATATGCATTACGGATATTACATAAATTCCGCTACCCAGTTACATATGTATGGGTTTGTCCTTCGAGTGTTGGTCGCAGCAGAAGTCATGGTCACTCAATTCTAGTTCCTGGTCCTGCAGAACATTAGGCGCTAGCGCAAGCCCTAAATAATAGTATGCTTACTCTGGACAGCCATCCTCAGCCCCACCCGGCGCGAACCTGTGTTTGCTCCCACGAGTATCTTCAGCCCAAGGATACCCAAGGAGGTTTACGGGACCCTACATCGAGTTCTCCCCTGCAGTGGAGAGCGTGGAGTTGGCATCTAGGCTGGTGCTAGCCAATTAGTTCACCAAGGTTCTCTTAGACTAATAGTGCGAGGTTCCTTTGGATTTTATTGGTAAAGTTTCATCACTTGAAGAAGTGAGACCCCTACTGCAGTGACTCTAGGTATGCATGTCACATTTTGCTCCGGGTAACCAGGGCTGCTCAGCTCGCCTCGAAATGAGCCTTTTTTTTTTTTTTTTCTTTTTTATTCCACAGGAATTCCTATGCAGCGGACTATAAGAGAAATCCGGGAGCGTTCTTGTCATGTCACAGTGCATATAAACCCGGTCCGGAATAAAAGAACAGTCGAGGCCGAGCCATCTTGAGGTACAGGACAGAGAGGGGGTGCAGTGGGCCGATATATAGTTTAGTGTAAATGCAGGAGTCCCAAAGTAGTTGCAGAACATTAATTGGTCACCCGTAGCTTTTGCCCAGGCACTGTTGTATGTAGGCTGCCACCTATATTTCTAGCAATCCAAGTGTTGCTAATCCCTCGCCTTGCTACCACGGCCGAAGCCAGGTCGATGAGCCTAACACTTTATTACAGAGCTTCGTGTGCTAAATACTTTTCGACACATTCTCCATCAAGATTGCACGCAAATAGCTTGGCTAAAGGCTGATATTTTAATGAAACTTAGGCTTCAAAGCTCCGTCCTTTGAGCCTGATCGCCTCATGTTAAAGGAAATGATTGACTGAAGATTTTTGTTATTATCCGGCAAGAATTTTCCCTCCCTAGTCTCGCTCAATTCCGGCATCATGCAACTCTGTCACAAGAATCCTCATCATGATAGGACAATTTGCTCGTCAAATACTCTTCTTGATTGTATTTTACAAACGTCAAAACTCTGAATATACGATTGACGCTAATGCAGCTTATTCACAGCTACAGCTCACCACAATCAAACCACTTGACGCTTGACTGACTGCGAGACTTGAGTTGAAGACTTGCAGGAACGGCGAAGACGAGAAATTATTTAACCGTCGTCTATTCGATTTCGCAAACACCTAGAAATCAGAAACATTCTCTTGCCTCAACAAGCTCATTCATACAGACATTGAATCAACATGTTTAGATACGCACACCTCCTTATTCTTGCAGTTGCTGCCGTAGCTGTTGCTTTCCCAATCTCCGATGTGCTCACTGCAAGATCAACAACATCGTCATCTACCGACCAACTCCTGAACCTCAGCCCGTGGTATCGTGCTTATAACCCATCCATTCGGGACCATTTCTACACCCCCGATATCAATGAATGGCACAACGCTATCAACAATCTGGGATACAGTGCCGAGGGCATAGCATGTCGCATCCATTCTACTCATGAGTATGGCACCGTTCCGTTCTACAGGGTGTACAATCCGACGAGATACGATCATTTCTACACCACATCGAAGCCAGAGCGAGACAACGCCATTCAGAATCTTGGATATCACGATGAAGGTATCACGGGCTACATATACCCAGAATCAATCCTGTTTACAGTCCCACTCTACCGCCTCTACAATCCGTCCGCCACAGATCACTTCTATACTGCATCCGCGACAGAGAGAGACAATGCTGCAGCAAACTTGGGGTACTCTGACGAGGGTATTGCTGGCTACGTGCTGCCCCCACAGTAGTGCAGTCCGCGTTTATTGCTTGGGCGAATTGGACGACCTGAGCGCTATCGCAGAGATTGGAGTCACCAGTTGGTCTAGTAGTAATAATGCTCCGGGGAAGATATTCAAGTTTTCTGAGCTGTTTGGATTGCGTTGAATTGTGGTATCGTGCGCATTTTCGGAGGCTGCTTTCTTAGTTGGAATCATGCCACTCGACGTTAATATGTCTACCGAGTCAAGCCCCTGCCTTACGCCTTCAACTTCATATGTCAAGCAGAAACATTCAGCCTTAGTATTTGATGCATCAAATTTCTCATTGATCATCTTTAACTCGCTAAAGTCTATTGTAAATTCACCGCCGCTAGGAGATGACCAGGAATTCAACAGTCGCATACACCCCATTTTCAGTGATTTTTAGCAAGATTTCTTGAAGGTACGTGTCAAAGCAATAATTGACCGTATAAACTAAGACTGTAGCCTATGGAGCATTTTTAGTCTAGCGGTAAAATGCCCCAAAATTTGTTGCAACAGGTTAACTATCTGAGTGTAGCGTATGACATTCCCAAAAAAGGAAAAAAATGAAAGAAAAAAAAAGATATCTCAAATAATCAAGGAGATTTCTTGATTCCATTATATCCATATCCCACATGGCAAGACCTAGCGAGCGTGTTTGGGCAAACGGAAGCCCAGGTACGGCAGATACTTTCCAGGATGCCAGTAGATGAAAAGGGCGACGCAAGGATAGATTACCAAGGTGTCGAAGACATACATGGTCCACTCATGCGTATTGATATACCCCGTCACACCCTCAGTAAACTCTACTAGACGGTAAATGGAACGGACCTGGAGATATAAGCAGAAGGGTCAGTGGAAAGGTCTCCAACAGGATCTCATGGACACTCACCAATATCAGCAAAGTAGTGAGATTCACCACACGCAATAATGCCGGCCAGTGCTTTTTCCTCGCAATCCCATCAACGATGTAGTCCTTTTCTCCAGACAACTCGTATCTCTCGTGAATGGTCTTCGTAAATCGTTTCGATGTGAAATTGAACCGGACAGCAGCCACAGAAAAGAGACCAAAAGCAATCAGCTGTATGATAACACCGGCCTGGGCAATGTGTTTCCCCTTATTGAGCTTGCTGGCTGCATCAGTGTCGGTGGAATCGACCGTAGAAATCATGACAGCTCCAACCAGCTGGAGAAAAAGGGCAACAACATCAAACCCCACGAAGAGTGGGGTGATGAACCTAGGAGGCACCCAACACAACCGGAAGGTCCGTTCCTGGCGAGGGACAATCAAAAAGAGGATGCGACCGAATAGTACATAACAACAAGCAGCCATGAGAACTGGTGCAAGGATGATAAGTGAGAACTGGAGGACATAGATAGGCTTGTCCGTAACATTCTGGGTTGAGATACACCGGCCAATGTAGCCGACTGCCTCCACTATGAGTGATATTAGCTTGAAGACCGACGAGGGGTATTAAGGAGTACTGTTGTACTTACTTGCTGCGGCAACAACCATGACTACCCAGACCCAAGATCTATGCCGGATCCATTGCACGAAGGTCAAGATAAATGCTATGCCATAAAGAACGGCCGCCACGATAGCGACCGCTAGCGACGGATTGTAGTGGTAGAATGAGGCATTCGCAGTGTTCTGAGTGGAGCGTTCCTCAAATTTCATGACTTGCAAGATTTAAAAGTCTCGGAGGTGGTGATTTTGTGGAAAAGATGAATTACAGTGTACTCTGGCGACAACGGAATAGGGGCCTACTTATTATATCCCCGACTCATAGATCGGGCCGTGGGGCTAAATATAATCTTGATATCACATACCACAAGCCACACTGCCAGAAAAGGGCAGGAATTCGCCTTGTCGACGCATTATTAGTAAATTAGGGCGCCGTTGATGCTCTCTATTAATCGACAAACGCGTCCTTGGCTAGCGCCTTACCCTGGAAAGCTGTCAGTCACCGTTCGAAGCTAGCATATCAATCAAGGAGCAGCTACCGGGCTAAATTAGTGACGCGGGACTTCGGGCTCCCGCGAGACCGATCGAGCAAGTTACAAGTCTTCTTGCTGAGCTTTGATTGTTAGATATTCTCAAGCCGACGAAATCAATACCTAATTAGGAAAGGCCGCCTCAGATCAGTACCATGGGTGGCCACCAATCAGCTTCGGGCAGTCTCCACTTCTGACATGGCTGAGCCTCTCGGAACCCTCTACGGAGTACTTGTCGGCATCTCTAGAGGTTCCCACGATCTTTCTACCCCTTTTGAACCCCAGGAGGGCCCGAGGGAAATTAGAATGACCTCCGCGATCGCATCATCGATAAGCAAGTATGCCCTTTTACGGTCGCCCGAGCAAAAATTGCGAGAGTTGTCGGCAGAGGCGAATCAAGGCAAGTTTCCAATACTAGCCGTTTAGGTTGATGGACGACCCCGAACATTGAAACCAATAATCTAATCCGAACGCCTATCGGTTAGTGTGATCGTCTTGATCCAGTCTGTTCGCAATGCAAGCGAGCGGGGAAACCATGTGGTGGCTATCGCGACGTCCCGTCGTTATTGTTCCGCGACGAGAATGACAGGACGGCACGCCGGTCTGCGGCGGCAAAGGCCAAATCAGAGGCCAGGCGCAAGCTGTTGGATAGTTCGGACAGCTCAGATGAAGGATCGAACATCTCCACAAACGGATTTGGCCCGTCTCGCTTGAACTATGTAGCCCAGCCAGAGAGAACTCGGATGGTGATGGTCCCCACAATGCCCGCTGTAGTTCCTTTGTCTTTGGAGGAACAGGGACTCAGATTCTTCTTCGATCGGTTTGTAAGTGCCATTTCTGAGCTGGATGGAAACGCTCCTTCTGGACTGCAGACTCCACCTTTCCTAAAGGCCATTCTCATGCAATCGCCCCTGCGCGATGCTACGATCTCGGTTGGACTAGCCGCCATGGCCAATGTCAACCAAGACCGAGCATTGTCACTAGCGGCTCGGGAGATGTATGTGGCGGCCATTAATTTTGTTCGGAGGGCTGTCCAAAATCCCGAACAGGCGAATGCGAACCAGACGTTTCATATGATTGTGATGTTGAGCATGTACGAGGTACGAGTCCCGGCCCACAAGGTGTCCTGCGATGCAAGTCCCTCTCCTCTTGGCGCCTGCAAAGCTGATAAATATAATGCTAGATGGTGTGTTGCGCGCCCAATGAGATTGATTCCTGGACCATCCATCTGGATGGTGTGGCGGCGCTAGTCAAACAGGCCAGCTTCAGCGATGCTCTGAGAAACACAAACTCGCGTCCACATCTGCAGTATTACTTCATTTCGATTATCAGATATTTTCTGGTCCAGGAAGCTATGCCTTCGGAACTGCTCGATTGGACTCCTGAACGTGTCCCCGGTGCACAGCCAAATCAGGCACCTACGATCTACCTGGTCGATATTCTCATTCGCTTCATGAAGCTACACTCTTCTATTCGGGAAAGCCCCGACCCCGATGCAAGGATAGCTATAAGCTCTGCTCTGCTTTGCGAGGCAGAGCTAGAGGCTTGGGAACAGCTGCTTCCAGAGAAATGGAAATTTTCTTTGAAGGAGTCGGATGACTTTCAACACACGTTCAATGGGACGCGTATGATATATAACGATGCTTGGGCGTCGAGAGACCTCAATCACTACTTCTGGGCGCGATTGATGGTCAATGAGATGGTCGTACGTCATCTCTCGAGGATAGAAATGCCATCGCTGGAAGATCTCCGGCAGCGACAAAAGGCGCTCGACACCATTTCACTGATGGCGACGTACATTTGTGCTGGGGCGGCGAGTCAAATGGGAGCCTTTCCTTGTGGACTTCCGCCTATAGGGCCCACGCATTTGCCACCACTGAATGGCGTTTTTATGTTGATGTTCCCTTTGGCGGTTGCAGGGGGAGCTGTTGGAGCTGGCGACGAAGTTCACGAGTGGGTACTTGAAATACTTCGGAAGATTGGGCAAACCATGGGCATTCGGCGGGCCTTGGAGATGATCCCCACGCTCAAGCAAGTCCGTGGGCGCAAAATGAGAGAATTAGGCATGGTCATGGTGAAATAGGGGAAATTCTAGGGCAAAGGGTGTACAAAGTTGAGGAGAATAAAAGTACTTGATCGATTGTCTCAGATGACGCGCTAGTCCCGGTTAGGTAATACTGAAGCCGTTCTCGACGCGGTCAGACGCGATTCCTTTCTGCATCTTCGCAACTCCTGAGCCTCAACATCTAGATCCATTCGACTCCATATTCAAGATGGCGCTTGAGGATGAATGTAAGGCGATTCTATTTCCACGCTTCCTGACATGATAGCTGACATGAATGGGTTGCAGGGACGTGCGACGCCAATGATGCGCTTCAGATCACGGTGGTGCAGCCCGGCGACACGAAACCGAAAACTCTCTCGACCTTCCACCCTCAGTTCACTTACCCCATTTTTGGAGACGAAGAGCAAATCTTCGGCTATAAAGGCTTGATTATTCGTCTGCGCTTTGCCGCTCATGACCTCCGCCCTCATGTTCACATTTCCTACGACGATCGATTCAAGGCGGTTGGCGACATTGCTGCGACGGATCTTCTCGGCACCTTGAAGGAATTCGTTCCAGAAGGTGAGTATTCTTGATCGCAGATGACTGAGAAGACATTTACTGACGGCGGGCATTCTCCCTGAATAGAGGCCTTAATCAAACTCCCCGACTACGAGAAAGCTGTCCAGCAAGATTCCAGCGCAAAGGATTTTACACCACCCGGCAAGCTGGTCTATAGCTACGAAGCAAACGAACGGAACTACGAGATTTGGGCAGGGTCTCTCGCGGATCCTGATGTGCGACGCATCCTCGATCGCGCACAGATCTTGGTGTCACTGTTCATCGAGGCCGGCACACCGTTGGCGACGGACGATCCAGAATGGACACTGGAGCGGTGGACAGTATACTTTGTGTGAGTATTCTATTCGCATTCTACGCTCTAGTAACGAATTAACTAACAGGCATAGATACGAGAAGGTGACACCCCCAACGCCAACGGCTTCGTCCTACTCCATCGTTGGATACGCCACCACCTACCGGTACTGGCTTTACCAGCGAGATCGCTCGATCACACCAACCGTCAAAGATGATGCCTTCCCCCCTCCCGAAATCAAGCTTTCCGAGCTCCCATCACGTCTCCGCATCGCTCAATTCCTTATCCTCCCCTCACACCACCGCGCGGGTCACGGTACCCATCTCTACACCACCATTCATGCCTCATGTATCGCAGATCCCACGATTATTGAACTGACGGTGGAAGATCCCAACGAGAGCTTCGATGCTCTTCGGGATACGGCCGATTTCTGTCTGCTGCAGCCCGAATTCGTCAAGCGCAAAGTCAATATCAACCCCGACCCTAGCGGGGCCTACTCTCGCAAACAGCGCCTCCGCTCTGTTCCAACAGCGGAGCTCATCCCCACTGATGTGCTTCGCGACATTCGCACATCTTTCAAAATCGAGGCCACTCAATTTGCCCACATCTTGGAGATGTTCCTCCTGGGTCAGATCCCCCCGAGCCATCGCTTGGCTGGCGGCACCAACTTGGCACGATTGTTGATCAAGAAAGGCAAAGCGGAGGACCCCAACGATCGGAGATACTATTGGTGGCGCATGCTTACAAAGCAGCGTCTCTTCAAGAAGCACAAGGAGCTGCTGCAAGAGTTGGAGCTGATTGACCGGGTAGAGAAGCTCGATGATACCGTTCGGAATGTAGAAGAGGGATACGAGATCACTCTCAATGCGGTCGAGGGCCGCTTGCCTGCTGCAGATGAGGCAGCTCCAGCTCCTAGGAATTCTCGCAACAAGCGTAAGCTTGCTATTGAGGATGACGAGGATGAGGACGAAAATGGGACCGAGGCGGCTAAGCGCCCAAAAGTTTAGAATTAATGGGCTAGGACGAATATTTATCTTACTGGCTACCCAGGGGTTTATTAGGAAATGGTTATACGCCACAATCTGCATGCAAAAGATATCTTAATGCTTCAACCATTTGGCAATGAAGCCAATATTGATTCAATCACTATTCATTAGACATGTATTCAATTTGGAAATGACTTGGCCGTTGAGATATTCGCTGGGAGGATTGAAGAGTAGTTAAGCTGGTGAGAAAGCAACCAAGTCCAGCCTTAGGAACACTGGGCTGGGCGCTCGGCACATCATTTTTTCCGGCATCAGCCTCCGTCACAGCTGTAGCGGAGCTCAAGCGCAACGATTGCCACTCCCGACAACCCCAAATAACTCCTCCAGACACCTCCATTGGACTCATTCGCCGTATTTTCTCTAACCGACTCGCCCACAAATTGCGAGTTTGTGTCCTGCCCGCACCGGTTACTGCTTGCGCACACCCACACCCTATCATCCCTCCCACCTTGACCATTCCCACACCAAATCACACCTTGCAATGGTAATCGCCCAATTGTCTAACGTATACTCAAAGCTCTTGCGCTAACTCTTCTTCTCGATAGCTGCCCCTCGGTCTCCTCACGGCCGCACAGGGCCACCCTATGCTGGTCGAGCTGAAGAACGGCGAGACTCTGAACGGCCATCTGGTCACCTGCGACAACTGGATGAACCTGATCCTGCGCGAAGTAGTACAGACCAGTCCCGAGGGCGACAAGTTCTTCAGATTGCCTGAAGTTTACATCCGCGGCAACAACGTACGTCCCTGCCCGCACTAGGCAATCACACGCTTTGCGCAATGCCATCCACCCCACTGACCAGTAACTAATGACTCGCTAGATCAAATACCTCCGTGTCCCCGACGAAATCATCGATATTGTGAAAGAGCAACAACAGAATCAACCACAGAACCGCCGCGGTGGTCACGGACGAGATGGGGACCGTGGGCGAGGCCGTGGTGGCCGTGGTGGTCGGGGCCGGGGTCGGGGTGGACGCGGTGGTGGTGATCGCGGCGGTCAATGAGCAACACTCTACGATGGACGAATTGCATGACTGAGAACCTAAGTTGAGTAAATAAGATACCCCGCAGCAGAGAGTGGGTATGGTCGCTCGCTGGGAGGTCCCCCGTGTTGGACGAGCATGGCCGTGGCGTATCTGGCTCTGTTTTTTTTTTTTTTTTTTTCAGTGGGAATCTGGGTTTCTGGATCGGTTCGCGGTCTACGAATATTACATATTGAAAACCCTGAATTGGTTCTTTCCTTCAAATCACCTAGCCTAGATGAACGTAGCCAATGCTTTGTGGAAAGGGTTCCCGGAGATAGATCGATATATTAGTCACGTGATATTTAATCAAGCCTGGACGGATCGTCTCCGCAACTTGAACGATCACAAATCTAAGGAGCAACTCGACATGTCACGGCGGGTGCTGGTTCTTGATGGACTATGGTATTCGCTATGTCCGTCATTCAGCCCATCGGTGCTGAATCGTCCCTATCCTCTATTGAAGCAGGGCAAACCAAGCTCCAGATCAGGCTTGACACCAGCTCTTCGCATTGCGGCGTCGCCGCGGCATCGCTGTTATAGCAGCAATGCCAGGAAGACCGATACCCGGTCACAATTCGAGGCTAACTCCGTACACGAAGCCACCAGTGACACATTCCCGCCTTTTTCCCGTTCCATTTCATTATCCAACAAGCTCTGGGAGGACCAATACGATAGTTTCGATCTCGAGTCCCATCATGACGAGGCATCGTCGCCGAAGCGCAGAAATAAAATCAACCAATTACCGAATGTCCCCAAACACGCCGCCGAGAAGAGCAATGACAGTCTCGAGACATTGTTACAAACTGAAATGGCCAGAAAACCGAACATCACATCTGCCACAAATATATTGCGGCTATTGATACAGGATCGAGGGGTCAAGCCGTCGGCGCGGCATTACAAAGCCCTCATACTCGCCAACTCGGATGCTTTGCATGGATCGCCGGAGTTCGTAAGGAGTCTTCTGGAGGAGATGGAGAAACAAGGGATTGCAGCGGACTCGGGGACGCTGCATGCCGCGCTGCAGGTATTTCAAACCCGAAATGGCCAGCTTCCTTTCGAATTATGGCTTTCTAACACTATTATCTTCTTTTAGGCACTCGCTGTTCATCCAGACTTCTGCCTTCGTCAGGAAGTCCTCCAAAAATTACGAGATCGGTGGCTTACCCTCAGCCCGGCGGGATGGCATTTCCTGGTTGCAGGGCTCCTCCGCGAGCATAAATTCGAGATGGCCCTGGAACAATTATCCCTGATGCAGCGGAAAGACATTACCGTTGATGACTGGCTGCATAGCTCAATAATCTATCATCTGTGTGACATGGGCGAATTGGACGAGGTGCTCCGCTTGATGCAGGTCCGAGTTAACCAGGGTCACGACATGACGTCTGAACTATGGATGCATGTGCTACGGACGGCAATCGAAGCGCAGCACTTCATGACGTCTCGTTATGTGTGGCGACGTATGGTTGAACTCGGCTACCTTCATCCACCGACGACTGTGTGCAGCGATGTTCTCAAACTCGCTGCTAGCGTCAGTGATATTGAAATCGCAAAGGCCGTGTTCCGTCATCTCGCCAGACGCGCTCTCTCTCCCACTTTGCAAGATTATCAACAGCTTATTGTGGCTAATGTCGGTGTGGGCGATCTCCCCGCTGCGTTGGGAGTGCTTTGTACGATGCACGACGCCGGTTTGTCACTCGATCAGACGACCACCCAACCTATCCTTGCGTATATGATCCAAAGCCAGACCGACCGTCGGGAGGCTTGGCAAGTTCTCAAGCGACTGCACAATGAGAAGCACAACATCCCTCTTGCCAGTGTTCGAGTCATTGCCGAATTATGCGAACATGATGCTCAGAATGACCCAACGGTGGTAGAGGATGCAGTAGGGTTTTACAATGAAATCCACACGCTGTGTCCGCAAGGCGCCGATCTCCAGGTCTACAATACACTGATCCGCATGTGTCGCACGGCGGGCAAACGGGAAGCCGGCATCTTCCTAGTCAAAGAAATGGCTACCCTTAACGTCATCCCCGATGCCACCACCTTCGAAACCCTTATCTTGATGTGCCTTGATGCGGGTAACTACAAGTCCGCCCTCATGTACTTGTTAGATCTAGCTCAGCGGGAAGCGACAGTCAGCCCCAAGGCCAAGGAGGAAATCCGGAGCCTCTGTGAGCCGTCGGTCAACGAGTATGCGCTACGGCTCCAGTATCACCCCCTCATCCAGGATGAGGATGTGCCAGCCTTGGACGATGCCACCAAGACGGCTGAGGTACCCAAAGGGCCTCGCCGCGGTCAACTTGGTCGTCAGGAGAGAATTGCATATAATAAAGAACGACGACAAAGAAAACGTCGCCGTTTGGCAATGGAGCGCCTAGCCGCAGAAGGCAAGGTCGGCTTCGAGGCTGTAAACAGCCCGGACTTGGTGGATTCCGACGTCGATGTGGATGAAATGGACGAGTATATCGAGGGGGGAAACGACCGGAGCTCTCCATCGTCCAAGGCAGGCGAATAGCAAGCTCTTGGTGTTGCATCGGGAAATTGGCTCGCCGCCACTGTTTCGGCTGGAAGCCGATGCAGGTGCATGCAGCATCGCTACCTCTATGATATCGGGTCGGATAGATGAAGGGGAGAGAGAGAGAGAGGTCTGTTGTGCGACGGACATGACGGCTTCGTGCGACGAGTACCCTGGCCATGTATCATGATTTTGTGTGACTGTACTATATTCCCAAGACATCAGCCCTGGAAATTTCAATAATGAAATGACGTGAAGAAATCCAATCAATTCCCATCCATCGACTAGCGGTATACCCAATCCTGGCCATAAGCACGGTCAAGAGTAGTTCAATATTCGTGGCGCCGACCGTTTCAATTATCCGCAGTGACCCAGTTGACCCGAGATCGGACGCCACGAACCACCGGTCTGTCCAGCACGACCCACTCGCCCCAAAAATAGCGCGAATCTCCCTGAAACGCCTGGGGGACGATCGCCAGTTCGAACTGGTCTGATAGTGAGACTTGGTAGGAGCATCAGACGGGTCGGCGCTTTCAGGGGTGGACGGGAAGCTTTTCGTTAGGGAGGTTACTCGATTGGCGTCATGTGCGAACTCGTTCACCCCTAAAGTTTGGGTCATCCCCTGGCGAGGATGAACTTCGGTGGACCGGAGAGAAACAATTAAATGGTTGGAGTTTGATTGGGAGGGTGGGGTCGGGGGAAGTCGAAAGTTGGTTTCCATCCAAAGGGAGAGGAGAGAAGTGAAGAAGAAGAGAATCCCGCGTTGAACCCTGCGCCCCTCGATTCTTCCCGATTGCTTCTTCCAACCTCCTGCAACTTTCCACTCTCATCTCTTCAACTATATAACCCTCCCATTATCTGCCCACTTTCCAACTTCCACATTGTACATTACCATTCGCCCCTCCTCCGGTGTCTACAATCCACAATTCTCGTGATAATAAGATCAATCGCCACCACCATGCAACTCACTACTCTTCTCCCCGTGATCCTTTCCACCTTGAGCCTGACCAACGCGCATCCTCTTGGTCAAGCCGCTACCTGGTCTGCAACCAACTTCACGCTCGAATGCTCCCCCGGTGGCTGTGCCTACCGCTTCAACATCAGCGCGCCAGCATCCGACAACGCGCCTGGTTTCATCACCTACTGTGAGGGGATCACTCCCAACGCCACTGCCTGTGCCAACGACACCATCACCGCCGCAGTCAGCCCCTTGACCAACCCAACATGGAATGTCAAGGTCCAGCACGAGTGGCATGTCGTTGAGGAAGACTACAACTCCGAGGCCACCTACTGGCAGATCGGCAGCACCAATGTCACCGAGACTACCAAAGACTTCCTCATCAAGCCTAATGTCTTTTACGGCGTCGCATAAGCGGAACCTCTTGTCTGAGGGGACCTTCCTTCTTCTTACCTACTTTTCATGACTTGTCTTCTTTAATGTGCTGTGGGAATTGGAAGACTTGGAAGTCTACGGGCGTTTTTCTTTTGTAATTCGACAATTTCTTTTGGGCAGAGTAGCCTGCATGTCTCCCTCTTTCATGGCCGGCGTTCTGGAATGGACAACCAACCTCCTTTGATCAGTTTGCGCCCGAGGCGCATTCTCTTCTTACAGCGGATGGAAAATGGTGCCGACTCTATGATGAAATATGTACATAAGATACATTACATGTGTACAATATGTTGACCTCGAATTCCTCTCTATTCTGTCGATGTACCTGCATCCGATGCCTTTTGGTCTTAGTTTCCGAGCTAAAATTAAGCCTCCAGTCATACCCGCGACCCAGTGACATCATCGGCTGCGCCCCCCGGCCAACCACCAAACAAGTTCCCTCTTACAATACGGCGTCATTTAATGCTCACGAAAACCTCAGGAAAGGCTCTGATCTGACGGGTAATTCGACACACACGCGGTCCACCCATGCTCTAACAGTGAAAAGTGCCCGCGAGCAGAGTTCCTCGACTCGCGCAAAATGGTACCACCCCTGGTCTTCCCCGGATTGCGGAAAAGAAAAGAGACCTTAAGCTAACCTCTGCCGCCGACAGTCCTCGATCCTCCGCCAGATCGTTGCAGGTCCTCGACTCCAACATCCAGAGGCTGGCCTAGATTTATGCTACGTGACCGATAACAGTAATTTCACCCCTTCCTCTGACTAGTCAGCCTCCTCTGAGAGACACTACCACGTTCCACACCCACTAATACTCCCTCCTCCAACCGCCTCAGTCATCGCAACGTCCGGCCCATCCGCAACATACCCCCAACGCGCATACCGCAACCCTCTCGAGCAGCTAGTCAAGTTTCTCGACTCCAAACATGGCGGGAACTGGTGTATCTGGGAGTTTCGCGCCGAAGGCACCGGGTATCCCGATTCCGAGGTGTACAATCGCATTCATCACTTCCCGTGGCCAGATCACCATCCACCACCCTTTGCGCTGATCCCGAATATTATGGGTAGTATGCGGAATTGGGTGCACCGACTAGATGCCAAGGATGGAGATAAAGTCGCGGGCGCGGACGACCAGGACGCGCAGAAGAGAGTCGTAGTGGTACACTGCAAGGCGGGCAAAGGTCGCAGCGGGACGATCGCGACCTCATATCTGATCAGCCAAGAAGGATGGAAAAAGGAGGATGCATTGCAAAGGTTTACAGAGCGGCGCATGCGAGTCGGGTTCGGGAATGGAGTGAGCATCCCCAGTCAGCTGAGGTATGTTGATTATGTCGACCGGTGGGCGAACCAACTGGGGAAGCAGTACGTGGAACGACCAGTGGAAATCCTAGAGATTCACCTCTGGGGACTACGAGATGGCGTCAAGGTCGCCGTGGAGGGATATGTGGACGAAGGCAAGAAGATTAAATGTTTCCACCTATTCCATCGCAAAGAGCGCACCGTCGTCGAAGCCGGTAACAACGATACCACATCCATACCCTCTCAAAATCACCTCGACATCAAAGACTCACCAGCAAAACCGATCAATACATCCGCAACCTGGTCCCCGCTTGCCACACAATCCGATTCATCTTCCGCATCCGAACTCTCCCGCCGCACAACGACAACACCCAACCTCTCCGCCATGATATTCCGTCCTAACAAGCGCATCATCCTCCCAAACTCAGATGTGAACATCGACTTTGAACGACGCAGCAAAGCCTCCTACACGGGATTCGCCATGGTGACATCCGTCGCACACGTCTGGTTCAACGTATTCTTCGAAGGCGGGTACGAGCACGACTCGGGCGTTTTCGAGATAGAGTGGGATGCAATGGATGGTATCAAGGGCAGTGCGAGGAAGGGAATACGCGCTTTCGAGCGGTTAAAGGTCGTATGGCGGTATCCGGCCGAGCAGGACGCGCCGCGAGGCTCGAATGTGTCTGCGGCTGGACGACCTATCAGTGAACCCAAGCCCGGCGAGCCCATCCACGAGAGCGCTCCTGCAGATTGGCGGGGGAAGAAAGACGACGATGGCGAGGGCGTTGAGAAAACGCAAAGTCAAGAGAATACTCCTCCGTCTACGGGTCAGGATCCATCAAAGGAGTCCCGGACTGGCTCGAGCACGACGGGGTCGACATTGCTAGCCGTCGGTGTGGGCTCTCTTCATGCATTAGAGAAGCAACTCGGGCTCCGCAAGCAGACGGATGAAAGTAAGGATGTGAGTTTAGCGGGTAGTGATGACGAGGCTCGTGGGGGGACGGATGAAGAAAGGCGGGCGAAGAAGGGCAAGGGTGTGGACAATTCCGAGGAGAAGTCCGAGGAAAATGGGGATTTGGAGGGTGTCCAGTCTTATTTTAAGAATGGAGATGGACTGAAAGAGAAGGGTGATGAGGGGGTTCAAGGGAAGCAATTGTGAATTGTTGACATCACGATTCGAAGTTTACATGTACTGACGAGGCGCACCTTTGTTGCATACTCGGGATGATAAACAGTGACACTCTTCTCAATCTTGCAATAATGATAGAGGTTAGTTATTAAATGCTCAGTACCAAACCCTCGCATCGGCGAAGACTTTTCTTGGTGATAAAGAAACTCGGTGCTTTAGCTGCGGGAAAACGCTGGCAGGTCGGAGCTCTGTGGCGTTATGTCTAGTGACATTGGTGGTGTACTTTATTTACCAAGGTTCATAGGATCAGTTTGGCCTCAACAGAGTCGATGAAAACTCACAGAATACATATTATAAGGACGACCACATCAATAGAAGTCTCGAGACGCTTTCAAGCACCATCTCGACCCCACGTGTAGACGTTGCCATCCACGGAGGCCTACCCACGGGATCAAAGTAATGCAAAGTAATGCAATGCCATACACGAGCGTCAATCATCTATCTCGCTAATTCTAAATTAAATACATCCTTTCTACAGCGGGACAAACCCTTCCATGCGTTTCCTGGACTCCTCTTCCTCCCTGCGCAACCGATCGGACTTCTTCCGCTCATAAACCGCACGCACCACCCGACGAACCTGATCTTCGCCCTGAGAAAAGTTCGCTTTCGCTAATCCCACGACAGAATCGATCTGCTCGGGCGTATAGATAAAGTTCCACGTGGACAGGAAATCGTCCACATCGGGATCGATGGTACTAGGTTGGGGGACGATCGGGTCGGCGTTATCTTGGGTCTGATTTTGGGCTTGTTGAATGGAATGGATAGCTGCGAGGGGTCGAGTCTTGGGGGTTGGAGGAAGATTTGGAGCATCAGGGTTGGGAATGAGGGGGAAGTAGACCACGGCGATACCAGCCTCGGGTCTCATTAGGTGGAAGTCGGACTCTGAGTGGTCTTCGCTCTTGTCAGGGTGGAAAAGACGCTTTGAAGGTGGGGGTTCGTCCTTGGAGATGCGCTCCTCTTGAGTGCCGACCCAGACGTTGCAGTATCCAAGGTCCGAATCTGCAGCACTAGTGGAGTTCTTCTTCTTATTGTTCGATGCATTCTCCTGGTGGTTTCGAGATTCGGCAATCTTCTGGTTGGCTTGCTCATCTGTGATGTTCTGGGGCTCACGCAGGGCCTGTTCCGTCTCCGCGAGGGTCTCGGTTGCTTGAGGCCAGCCTGCACCGACGGGCCAGCCTTTGATGCCCCGCTGTCGCGCATATCCGTCTACGACGGAAAGCCAGTTTTCTTGCTTGATGTCGGCGGAGGCATCGAAGGCGACAATAACATCCACATCCCGGCCGGGACGAATCAGCGGGTAAATAGGCAGATTGTTGCTCATTCCGGCATCCATCAGCCGCAAGTGCTTGTCCTGGAAGATAGACTCTGGACAAGAGGCGGGGAGTTGTTCTTTCATACCCATGACGTAGTTAGGAATGGCAGCAGGGTCGATGGGGTGCACTCGAATGAGGTCTTCATTCTTGCCCTGGATAAGAGTATCGATTCCACCAAACCCAGCAAGGCCCTTGACCAAGGGTCGAACCTCTTTGTAGTAGTGAGAAAGAGTTGCGCAGAACGCACTGCCCCAGATTCCCATCAACCCGGGAACCCGCAGCTCTGGGATGGGATAGGTCTGGGAAGGCGTCTCATTACGCCCTCCGTGGAAGTGCCGCCCCAATGCCCAAGTAGGAATGCCAGCGTTGAGTTCCTCACAGAAGAATTCGTACGGAGTAAATTCAAACCACTGGAACCAAGACTCTTTCTTAGCTTCTTTCATCAAGTCTTCTGGCTTTTGATGCTCATCGTCTCGGGCCTTTTCAGCCAATAGAGGAATCTCATGACGCACTGCCGTGTAGATGGGCATGGGATGTTCGCCATTCAACAGATTGGTTTGCTGGTTGGAGATCTTGAGATCCCGATCGCACACGCCGAGCTCTCCACGGGGAACCAAGAGTCGTCCTGCAAGCAGCATACCATAGATATCCACCAAACCAAAGTCGGCGCCCGGGTCTGCCTTGAGCTTCTCGACCAAGCCGCGGAGTAGAAACTTGTTGGTGGGTGCAGTGGTCAGCAGATTGAGCGCGGCTGGCGGAAAGGCAATATGAACACCCAGTCGATTTTTCAAGTGATCAACGAGGCGATCAAAGTCCCCGTCGGCGAGAGAAGAGTGATAGAGCGTCTGCAGCCAGCAACTACCACTAACCCCGGCCGTGTAGGTAACACAATCCCACAGGCCAGCTTGCTGGGCAGCCAGGTATGACCCAGTCCCGGCAACCAGGGCGCGTAGCCCACCACCAGAGCCGCACATGGCAATAACCGGGACATCATCGGGATGGATCTCCTCCTCGGGTATATTCAAATATGAGGCCAAAGCTTTCCTCGCGTGTTGTTGGCGCTTCTTCCTGAATGCAAGCTCCTCGTGGCACAGATCGCCGCTCACTCGCACCTGAGCCTCTCTCAAAATTTCCGGATTGAGGTCTGGATCATGCGACTCCTTCCAAATTTCATCGGCGAGTGAGCCCGGGGCCATGGAGAGCTCTCTCTGGAGCTTCTGGGCTGTAGCCGGCAGCAATCGAGCCCAATCGGGGACGATATACTCGGTAATGTTACCCCCCAGGTCTCCCCAAGCTCCAGCTCCAACAGTATGTTTGACATTATCGAGCTTCTGTGCGAGTTTGAACCATACGGAATCTTGATCATTGTGTTCGGGGCTACCCTTCTCATGGGATGAATCAGTCTTTGAGTCGGAATTGGTCTCGTACCAAGCAGATGTGGTAGTGAAGGGATTGCTCTGTGGTAGACGTCGACTCCACTCCCCCGCAGTGTATGCAGCCAGAGCAGCAGGTGGAACTGTCCAGCGCAGACGTGAGATCCTCGCGGCACCCATTTTGGCGAGCAATGGGCGCGACGACGAAGCTGCAAGGTGCATGCAACAACCTTGGCCAGGCCTCGGGATCACCATTGGTTCTTGTTCTACTGTAACCTTAAAGCGGGCGATGACGATATATCATGTGACACAATGCGGCAGAACAGACGGGCCGAACCAAGGTTACCTTTTTGGGTCTAGTGCGAACGTCGCTCCGGGGCGGAGCTTATCGACTTGCTGCGGCCAAACATCCCTCGTGGACCCCACACGCCCGGAAGACATGACGGCTCCTGGTTGATTCGGCCTGGTGTCTCTTCTGCGATTGAGAACATGGTGGCCCCCAGGAATACCGCATTTGCGGAGGAGAGTGCCGAGGTGGAGGTGCTGTACGCCAACCTCGAGAAGCTCAACCGCCTCACCAAGAAGATTCAGGGCTCCCTGGTACGGCTGGAAACCAGCGGTAAAGTCGTGAAGGAGGCTATCGGCCCCATTTATAGCAACACACAATCACTGCAGATTACCAACAGCAATATCGACAAGGTCATCGATGCGATTGACCGTCTACGCCAGCCTCTCGATACGAAGAGCCGCGAGGAGGGTATCATTCGTGCAGGGTACCGCCCTCCCAAAGCACGCTTGCAAATGCAAAGTTCGAATGTACTAACCTGAATTATCTACCCAGACCACAGAATTCTGGCCTGTCGCAATACCTCTCAGCAATGAAACGGGTTGAGAAAGCGCTGGCCGACCTCAACACGACAAACCTCCGATCGAACCAGAAAGCAATGTCCGACTTCAACGCCCTCATCAGTACAGGAAGCAACATGTTGCAAGATACGTTTAGGGCCGAACTGATGCAGCATGCCACACCTATAGAGCCGCTACACTATCTGACTAAAGGTGAGCACTAGCACTCGGATGCTTGATGTATTGCGAACGAACAACACGCTGACCTCAGCGTGCTCAGAACTCCCTTTCCCTTCCCTCCCCGAAGACACGGTTTCACAATTGGCACCAATACGCTCGGCAATCGAGTCGGCAGCCATTCATGGGCCTCAAAGAGGAAAAGGCGAGAGTCCTGCATTGAAGATATATGCGGACGTACGCGGGCCGTACATCAAGTCTAGCCTCCAGAACCTGTCCATCGCATCGCTCAACACCGTAAAACGACGACCGACGGATGGTCCTTACAAACAAGGCACGAATGGAATTGGTATCTACTCGAATGCTTTGGAAGGTTTCATCGTCGCAGAGCATGGGGCGATCGTGCAGATCTTCACTGTGGATCAACATGGCCTCGTTCTCCAAGCCACCTTCCTCCCAGCCATGGGGGACTACTCAAAGACTCTCCGTGAGCTGAACCAATACATAAAGGCAAATTTGATGACCGATTGCTTCTTGGCATTTGAGATTATCGAAATTGTGACGGCAATGTCTTATCGCATTGATTCCAAGTCGGCCGAGCTTAAAAGTCTATTGATTGAGGCTCTACGGCCAGTGCGTGAAACGGCCAAGTCTTCACTCTCAGAACTTCTGGAAGAAACCAAGCGCAGGGCTGCCACCGCTCCGTTACCCCCCGATGGTGGCTCCATACCTCTTGTTGACGAGGTGATGAGCTCCTTGGCTACTCTGACCCGTTACTCAGGTCCCCTTGCATCTATCTTGACGTCGCTGGGAGATGGCAATTGGCGATCCAATTCAAATACCGCAGGCACAGCTCCTCTAGACGTTGGTCCTGACAGTGGAACCTTGTTGTCTCACTTTATTGTGGATATGATCGAGGCTCTTATGAACTCATTAGAGGCTCGTGGCCGGGCATTCTACCGATCCAAGGCTGCGCTCGGTGTGTTCCTGTCCAACGTGTTTTGTGTTGTTGATCGATCTATCCGACAAAGCCCCGAGCTGGCGCGTTATCTTGGTGCGCCAGATACCATCGCTCGGATTGATAGCTTCCGCAAACGTGCGACTTCGACGTATCTCGATGCATGGAAGGATACCTCACAATGTCTGTTGGACGTGCAATATACCTCCCGAACCGGCGCACGGCCCAGCTCTGGCGGTGCAGTGGATTCCAGTGCTATTGTCAAGAACCTATCGTCTCGCGATCGGGATGCCATCAAGGAAAAATTCAAGTGCTTCAATGCGAGCTTTGATGAAATGGTGTCCCGGCACAAGAGTCTTCATATGGAGCCCGAGGTGCGCTCCGTCCTAAGCCGAGAGCTTCAAGCTGTTCTGGAGCCACTTTATTCTCGCTTCTATGATCGCTATGTCGAGATCGACAAGGGTCGCGGCAAGTACATCAAGTACGACAAAGCCAGCCTTGCAGTACAGTTGGCGCAGCTGTCCTAGGCTGCCAGCTGCATAGGTACATCCACAGATATTTCTCTTCCATTTTCGTATTATTTTGCTTTCCAGCGAGCAGCCAATAATACCATAATTGAATGTGCCGGATTCGTTCCTTTCCATCTACAGATTCATCCAGTAGTATACACGTGACTCGCCCCACGCCAACCTTACGATAACGTGATAAGCCCCGCTAAACCCGATGATCACAGCAAAATTTCCCAGTTCGCACATTTCTTCGACCTCGCTTTTCCAAACGATCCTGTCGCTCAATTCGTCTTGCGGGTACCCTCCGATCAGACCGGAATCATGTCCGCCAGCAACGATGTCTACCAGACCCCCCTCAACTCGCGCTACGCGAGTAAGTCGTTCCTCCCGCCCCGGACCGCTATGAGGGGGACCTCATACTCGATAGCTAACGTCGACTTCCAATTGGTTAGGCAATGAGATGAAGTATCTTTTCTCTCCTCGCATGCGATTCTCGACATGGCGCCAGCTGTGGGTCTGGCTCGCCGAGTCCCAGAAAGGTACGAGAAACTGAAGGAAATTGGAGGGGGAATGAGTCGAAGCGCTGGTGATGCACCGACATCGGATGTACTTTTGGATGGAAAAGGAAAAACAAGCAACTGTTCAATTGACTCGTTTGTGATAATCTAGAGCTCGGACTGCCAATCACCGACGAGGCTATCGAGCAGATGAAGGCTCACGTCACCATTCAGGATGACGAGTTCAAGGTTGCCGCCGAAGAGGAGAAGCGCCGCCGACACGATGTCATGGCTCACGTCCACGCCTTTGGCCAGGTCGCCCCGGCCGCCGCTGGTATCATCCACTGGGGTGCTACCTCGTGCTACTGCACTGACAACGCTGATCTCATTCTTCTCCGTGACGGTCTCGACATTCTCATTCCCAAGCTGGCCGTCGTCGTCGACAAGCTGTCCCAGTTCGCCCAGCAGTACAAGGACCTGCCCTGTCTAGGCTTCACCCACGGCCAGCCTGCTCAGCTGGTTACCGTTGGCAAGCGTGCCTGCCTGTGGATCCAAGATCTGCTGATGGATCTGCGTAACCTCGAGCGTGCTCGCGACGACCTGCGCTTCCGTGGTGTCAAGGGTACCACTGGTACTCAGGCTTCCTTCCTGCAGATCTTCGAAGGTGATCACGCCAAGGTTGAGAAGCTGGATGAGTTGGTCACTGAGAAGGCCGGTTTCAGCTCTGCCTTTATCATCTCTTCCCAGACTTACTCCCGTAAGATCGATGTGGATGTGGGCAACGCCCTTGGTTCCTTCGGTTCTACCTGCGAGCGCATCGGTATTGACATCCGTCACCTGGCCATGCTGAAGGAGGTCGAGGAGCCCTTCGAGAAGGACCAGATTGGCAGCAGCGCCATGGTAAGTGTGATTGGTCAATTGAACTGTGGATGTGGCTGCTGACTTGACTGCGTCCGTAGGCTTACAAGCGTAACCCCATGCGCTCGGAGCGTCTGTGCTCCCTGGGCCGCCACCTCCAGAACCTGCCCAAGGATGCTCTGGATACCTACTCTGCTCAGTGGTTCGAGCGCTCGCTGGTGAGCATCTGCAGCTGAGAAGCTTGTTTGGGATTGGGGCGGTCGGCTAACTTGTACTAGGACGATAGCGCCATCCGCCGTATCAGCATTCCCGAGCTCTACCTGACCGCCGATGCCTGTCTCATCCTGCTTAGTACGTGTCTGGGATTGGATTGCTGGGGATATTGTGCCATTCTGACTCTTTTTTTAGACAACGTCAGCTCCGGCTTTGTCGTTTACCCTGAGGTCATCAAGCGCCATGTCAACGATGAGCTTCCCTTCATGGCCACGTGAGTTACCAGGTCTCATCTCTCAAGATATGATTTATGCTAACATTTCAATAGTGAGAACGTAAGCGCCTTGTGAACGTATCATGATCCATTGCCAAGGCTAACCATATCCAGATCATCATGGCCTGCGTGAAGAAGGGTCTGTCCCGCCAGGACGCCCACGAGGAGATTCGTAAGTGAAACTCTCCAGCCTGAAGTTTTCATCTCCGCTCCCGAACTAAAACCATACTCTTTTCTTCCGTTAGGCGTCCTCTCCCACCAGGCTGCCGACAACGTCAAGAAGCACGGCAAGGACAACGACCTGCTCGAGCGCATCCGCCGCACCGCATTCTTCAACCCCATTCTCCCCGAGCTGGACAACCTCCTCGACGCCTCTACCTTCGTTGGCCGTGCTCCCCAGCAGGTTGAGAAGTTCACCACCACCGAGGTCGCCGCCGCCATCAAGCCCTACGCCTCGCACATTGCCAAGGGCGAGACCTCTGCTCTGTACGTTTGAAATGCCTCACGAGGCTCCCACGGGACTTCAATGGCATGGTTTGCAAATTAGGCGTGAGATAGGGGGGGAAAAGTCGATCCACAAATAACAAGATGACGAAATATAGATGTGTGGGGAAGGAGTTGTATATTGGCCAGCTGATACGCGCTATGAAACGAGATTCTACGTACCTAATTACCTCGCTCTCATGTGTATAGTTATTCGTAGGAAAAGGAATTAGTCATGGACACGGGCATATTATGGATTAAGGTACTGTATACCAGAAGAAAAACCATGAATCGAATCAAACGAACCACCCCCGTTCTAACGATTAAGAGGATCACGAGAAAAGAAAAAAGATGGAGGGAAAAGGAATGCAAGATCAAAATTGGACGGAAGTGGACACACAACAGCACCCAATTAAAGTCCAAACACACCAATCGCTTCGAGGGAAATAAGAAAGAAGAAAGGAAAATGCTGACTTTTTATGCAAGTAATAAAGAAAAACAAGAGACTGTAAAGGCTATGCATAAAAAAGAAGAATCAGGGTTCCTCGGGCAGCAAAGGACCGAATAGCTAAACCAAGAAAAAAGAATCAAAGCAAGAAAAGGCAGACGCTATGGGCATGCAATGGGGTACGCAGTCGGTAGAAAGCTAGTTAATGTGTTCCCGAAGGAAAGAAAATCCCCCCAAAAAAGATAGCAAGAAGAGAAATTGACCCCCCTGAAAAAAGAAACAGGGAAATGTGAAGGTCTTTTTTCCCCCAGCGTGCGTCGAGAGAGGAGATCGCCAAATAGGAAGAATGGTTGGTTGGTGTGAATTGCCCGTGCCAGGGAAGCCGATCGTCGGTCTGCAGGAGACGGTCCAGATTGTCAGATCGGCCGTTGATGCTGCATGGTTGCATCACCGTACACGATGACACCTGGATTCGAGGAGCTCCTGGAGAGGCTCGTGAGGGCTTTTGCCATATGTCCAAATCCAGAATCTGGTCCAGCTTCCGGTTCGGCCTCTGCAAAGGGAGAAACGCTGCTAGTAGGCCAATGATAGTATGCATTGCCGTTCAGCAGCAGTAGTAACCGGGAAAATCACCGATATACGCGCACGAGGTGGACTCATCCCCACAAAGGTAAGGTCGTGATGTCGCACGCTGTAAAGGATCGCGGTCCCCTCATCTGGTGGGCACTCTGACGGCGCCACGAGCCTCGGGGTTCCCTCGAAATAAGCTGGGGACCTTGGGAACCAACTCAATTCCTCGGCTTTTGACTCCTCGCGCAAAAGGTAGAAAACGTTGGAGAATCATGTCTGGGTGCTGATCTGCATCGATGAGGGCAGAAATGCCATCATGCAGACGGACGGACTGAGAGCCGCGATAAAATCCCACGATCATGCCACGATGACACGTAGCACCGACTCTCCCAGTCCCAAACGAGCCTCGAAAAGACGGGCTTGGAGACAATGAGCACGACCACCGCGGGTACTCACACCGGCCGAACCGAAAAATAAGAACTCGGAGTCAGCCCGTCCGGGATTCCTCATTTCTCCCCCATCTCCTCCCCAATCAACCCCAACCATCCCAGCCACTTCCCCCAACCCCGAACACGCGAGCCCCCCTAAAAAAAAACTCACGCATCAGCCGGACCAGGCGGACTCGCCTCGGACGGCGCAAACGGCAAGGAAAACAAATCCCGAATTAACCACAGAATATACAGCACGCCCAGCACCCACAGCGACGCCATGAGTTTGTACGTGGACGAGCGCCATGTGACGCGCCGGATCAGACGGCGGCCATTAGGACCTTCGATGGGCCCGCGACGCGGCGACGCGGGTGGCATTTGGCCGTTTGCATTGGCCGTTGTCGTTGAGGAGTGAAATGGGTATGCCAGGGCCTCGTTCATGGGCTCGCTATGCGAGGTTCGCCGGCGAGACATAGTAAAGACTGGCGGGGGGGTGGAAGCAGAGGGAAAGTCCAGGGTTTCCCAAGATTAGGGTTTGGTTTTCCTCTTTTTTTTTTCCTTTGGGGGAGGTGGGTGGGGTTGTTCAATCGCTGATTCTTCCGTAGGATTTGAAAGGGAGTATAGAGGTTAAAGGGATAGAGAAGAGGAAGAACTCGAGGAGAGAAGGTGAATTCCAGATCATTCGAACGGAGGAGATGGAATCACACAAGTAGTATGTGGACCAAGGGTTAGAATGACCACGTTCCCGAAATCTCGAATTGAGAAGAAAAGAGTAAAGCGCCGCCAAGTAGTAGCGTGGAGGGGCAGACGGTTTGTCTTCCGAGTCGCCTGCGCTTAGGGCGTGTCTGGAGTCTTTCTTTAAAGAGGATTGGAGGAGGAAGGGGGGGGGGGCTTTTTTGGGCGATGGGGTTATTCACGGGGTTTGGAAGTATACTGGAGTGAAGTATGACCACTGGAGATTGCGAGGAGAAGAAAAGAAAAGAGAGAGACGTTTTTGCCCCCGAACGAGAACTCTACCTGTTGACAAGCGAGAGAAACCCAAGAGACAAAGGAAATGACAGAGAAAGAGAGAGAGAGAGAGAGAAAGAGAGAGTAGACAACCCCTCCAGCAAAGCGAGGGGGTCCCACCGCCAGGACAGCAGCAAGAGCTCGAAAAGGGAATCTTGAGTCTCCACGGATCCGCCCTGGGCTGCGACTCCGATCGGCGAATAGACGGGCTGTCGGGCCCAAGAAAAAAAAAAAGGGTAAGAAAGTACGGGATATACAATCGGCAAGGAATGATTGAGATAAGATAGCTACCCAAGGAGGACCACGAGAAAGTGAAAATCAGGATCACGGATTGGTATGAAGTCGTTTTATAGATCTACACCAGTATACGGAGCAAAGAAACAAGGCACTTGGAACATGACAGGCCCCCCGACGCAAGGAGGGGGAGAAACATGGATTTCATTTTGGACGAGGGGGAAAATGTGGGAAGATGAATTCATAGAGTCATCAGAATCAAATCATCTGCGGGGAGTGTCGTGCGACAAAAGTACCAAGGGAGAGGACATGGCCCTAGTCCCACGACCCTAAATCCCTGTTGTCCGGCGAATTCCACGTTGACCGAGTTGCTGACATACGCACCTCGATGGTTAGTTAGGTACGATCTCGGTGAGCACATAGTATCGAGTTCCCCCCCCCCCCCTCCACAGTATGACTGCGGTGATATCAGGACGTTAGGATAGGCCTGAAGTCCTGTCCTTTTCTGACACACAATCCTCCCGTACATGAACCCGTACATGACGAGGATCTGGAATTGGGCATCTACTTGTATTGCCACGACAGTTCATGGTCTATCTACTAGGAGACCGTGACTAGCACAAAGTGTACTAGAGTACCGGAAAAAGACCAGGTATTCCTCTATACTGAACGACGGTGAACGATAGACTACTCATCAACCCCAACCAGAAACGAGCCCTTTGGAAGCAGTCGCGGGCAGTCTTTTAAGATCGCCCCACCTTCGGGCGAAAGGGGGAAGATCCGGGGCAGTTGACTGGATTTGACACATGCAGAATGCGAAACCCTGTCGTGCGCGCAATCCGTGTGGCCTCGTTGGCATGGAGATTACAGTCATAGATCCGTCTCTCTCGTGAATGGTCCTTGTACGTTATTCGAATATGAGAATATTTCATCATACTCGTAGAGTTGACTAAGTTCATTCCAATCTCCCTGAACACCGACCAGTTTCATAGGCGGAGTATTGCATTTCCCGTTCGGCAAGATCTCTTTTCCTGGCATACCCCGGTGGATTCGCTGCTTTCGTATGGGGGAACTGGGGAAGAGCATAACCTCTACTCTCCGTACCATCCATAGAGTCGATCGAAAACAAAATAACTAAAAAAGCAAATGGTAAAGACCAGGAACCTAGGAATGATCAGATGACGAGGCAACGTGCCATATCGGCACTTTTCTCTGTTCTCGTAGGTTCAGGTGGGGGGTGGAGGAGAGAGCCAATTCCTCCGACGCCGGAACCCTCGCGGGCGCCGGGAACCGCCTCTTTCCCCAACCTCGGCAGAAAGTGCGAGTCATCCCGTTCCTTCCTTCCTCTCTTTCGACTCGAACACGCGACACTCTCTCTTCTTTCCCCCTACCCACCATACCCTATTGCACTCCTGAACGAGGATCTTTGTCTTCCCCTTTTCCCCTCCCCCTTTCCCCCCCCCCCCTCTCGGCGGCCATTCGGCTTGAGTCGTCGCACGATGTGGAAGCCGTCAGAGCGCCTGATGGAAACCATCAGGCACTATGCCAGCTTCCCCGCAACCGGGGTCTCGCTGAGGCAAATGGTCCAGTTTGGTGACCGGCCCTCGACCGGTATGTCCTACAATATTAAGAGATTCCGATATTCCAAGCTTCATTAGATGGGAATTCTGGGGACAGCGGAAGAACTAATTGGACATCTTGGTAGGCACCCTGTTCCGCGCTTCGCAATTCCTCTCCGAGGAGCTCCCCATTCGCCTCGCGCATCGGGTCCAAGACCTGGGCGAGCTACCCGATGGCCTCAGTGAGATGCCCTCGATCAAAAAGGTGCAGGATTGGTATGCGCAATCATTCGAGGTATGTCTTTACTCTACTCATCGGTCTTTTTTTCCCCCCCCCCCCCCCCCATCTTTCTCCCCGCCGCTCGAGGCTGCTTCCGTTGCTCCGTGGGCGTGACTCACTAACGGCGGGCCGCCACCTCTCAAGGAAATCATCAACCTCCCCCGACCCTCTCTGACCCAAGAGGTCAGAAACCGCCTCTTGCGCCCGGGCCGTATGAATGGCGGCTCTCCATCTAAGATTCTCTCCGAGGCGACACAAAATCCCAGTATTCGCGAGGGCCAGTACCGCTCCGCCGTTACCGCCAATGGCATTATCAACGGAAATGGAAAACCGGCCGCCGCGGCCGCCGCAGGCCGGCGGTATTTCGTGCCCGCCGATGGCAACGTAGATTGGCCCCCCGAACTCAATGACTACAACCAGCGATTCTCCCGGACGCTTCAGCAGATTAAGCGACGACACGACAGCGTGGTGACGACCGTAGCCCAAGGTATCTTGGAGTGGAAGCGGGAGCGGCAGCGCATGCAAATTGACTCGACCATCCAATCATTCCTCGACCGTTTCTACATGTCTCGTATCGGCATTCGAATGCTGATTGGACAACACATTGCACTCACGGAACAAACGCACGTCAAACATCCCAATTACGTCGGCATCATCTGTACCAAAACCAACGTGCGCGACATCGCCCTGGAAGCCATTGAAAATGCCCGGTTCGTCTGCGAGGACTACTACGGTCTATTTGAAGCGCCCAAAGTGCAGCTGGTCTGCAAGGACGATTTGAACTTCATGTACGTGCCGGGCCATCTATCGCACATGCTCTTCGAGACCTTGAAGAACTCGCTGCGTGCGGTGGTTGAGCAACACGGTGCCGACCGCGATCAATTCCCCGTGACCAAGGTGATCGTGGCCGAGGGTAAGGAGGATATCACCATCAAGATTACCGATGAGGGTGGTGGTATCCCCCGGTCGGCGATCCCCTTGGTGTGGACGTACATGTACACGACCGTAGAGCAGACTCCCAGCCTGGACCCGGACTTTGACAAGAGCGACTTTAAAGCACCCATGGCTGGCTTTGGGTATGGATTGCCCATTAGTCGGTTGTATGCGCGCTACTTTGGAGGTGACCTCAAGTTGATTAGTATGGAGGGGTAAGAAGACCACCTTCGTCCCTGAGATCTCTCTCTCCGTGCCTCCCCGCTAACTCCTTTGCAGATACGGCACTGATGTCTACCTCCACCTCAACCGGTTATCTTCGAGCTCGGAGCCCTTACAATGACAACTACCCGTCATGAGAGACGGCCGGACCCGGTTCAACACCTCGCACCGCCTGCACCCTTTCTACATCGAACCGGGGCCCAAGTCCGGCCCGTCTCGAGGACTGACGCCCATGAACGTCCAGGCACATCGGTCCCGCATGCGCAGCCGTGAAGTTTCGGAGCGCAAACAAGTCGGTGACGCAGAGAGTCTTTTCCACTCGGAGCAACGGCAGAAAGACGATGACGAGGATCTGTGAGAGCCCTTTCCCCTTGAAGCCCTGTCGATGCTCATGATCTTTGTTTTTATTTTCCATCTTTGTACCGTGAGTTGCTTTGTACTGACCGAGGTTGCGTTTTCATTCTTAGTGGTCAATTCGCGCGGGCTTCGCCTTTCCTTCTTCTTTTCATCTCGCTGGTCGTGGTTCACATGGACAACGGCAAATCTTACGAACGAAACACGACGGCCGAGTTTAACACGACTTGGGGATGGAATCCGACCTGAGAGAAACAAAATTGCCCTGAAAGAAAAGAGAAACGGAAAAAAAAACCACACTAAAAGCAAAACAAAAACATCGACGAACCCGACATCCCCTCGATCAATTTCCTCCCCTCGCAACCACAACAAGGCCAAAGAAGCGCCCTTTGGTTCCGATCCTTCTGAGATACCCATGCCTCATTACCCTTTCCACCATCTAACCACCTTATTTATTACCTCTTGATTCATCGCCCTTTTCATTCATTGAATCGAGATCTTTATCCCCGTCTTCCTCGGAGGTCCGGTGTCCTCGGTTCAGGTTGGGTTCGGGTGTTCTCTGTATAGTACTCTTTTTATATTTTGTGTTAGCGAGCATACGTCCTGTTTATTGGATACCTGCCTCACGAGCAGTCAATGGAAAAAAACAAACAAATTCTTCAAATAAAAGGCCACTACAATCAATCATCATTCCAATTCTGCTTCACCTCGACGTAGATACGGCCCTACTCCCCCCACGACTGCCCACCCTCGAACTTTCCCCGCTCCCCCCACTCCCCTCCCTCCCCCGTCCACTTACTCCCCGATCACTCTTCCTCTTCACCCTCGGTTTCCCCATCGGCCACCAAGACCTCTCATCCCCATCCACAACCTCCCGATACGACCCCGGCACAAGAAAAGCGGTGGTATTATCCGCGCCGGACGCAGTTTCGTAGCCTCGCGTAGCCCCACCGGCGGCCGTGAAGGAGCCCGCCGGTGGAAGCAGCTCGGATTCGGAGGCTGGGACGACGAAGCGGGAGGCATACAGGTCATTTTCGAGGCCCGGGTTGTTGGGCGCCAGGAGTTTTGCTTGGAAGCGGCGCCGGGTTTGGGGGATTGTCTTTGGGGTTTTGCTAGTTAGAATACATGGATGCATTATATGAACGTGTAGACGAATGGTGGTGGGGGATGATGACTGGTTTCGATATGCGTGATGGGAAGCCTTTGGTGGGGTCAAACGGGGGTGGGTTATCAAGAACTAACCCGATGTGAATTCAGAGCATGCGTCACGAGAAGTTCCCAATTAGACAGCACTGCCAACGCGGCATGTTGCTCCTCAGAAAGATGGCCGTCCGTACGGAGCCTCCGCGGCCGAGTCGCCCGGTGACGTTCACGGGGTGGATAAAAGCCCAGACTGGGATCGTCTCTATTGCCCGGCTGCGAGGGGGTGTTGTGTGCATTTGGGACGGCCGAGTGTGGGTTTACAGCGCGCGTTGTAAAGTCATTTTCTAAACCCGAATCAGTACACTGACACAAACCGCTCGTGTTGATGTAGTGAGAAAAGAAGAATTAGGGAGGCAAAGCACAAAAACTAGGGACTGGGGGGAAGTTGTGGCTGGGTTCGGTTACTTACCATCTCTATCTTCTTCCATTGCAACACCCATGATCCTCTCGTCGAATTCAATGTCGCTATCGTCTTCTGCGAAGTGAAGCATTTCACCGTCCGCCGGCTCGAGTTGCATACCCCCGTCTTCAGAGTCGGTGTCCACGGAGATGTACGTGTGTAGGTGTGCGCCTGCGGTTGGGAGATGGGGCTCCGAGTCCGAGGCTGTGTCAGTGTCCATGTGGATGGTCTGGTGTGGGGTTGTGTCACCCGGGGTGGGTTGGTTGTTGGACATATTGGTGGATTTAGGAGGGAGAGAGTTTAGAAATTGGTGAAGGGATGGCAGGTGGATTTCTCAAGGAGAATGGAGAATAGATGAAGTGGTCAAGGGTTGGTGGGATATCAACGTGGGCACGTAAGTGGAGGGACGATGGCCATGAGGTATTCAAGAGGGCGAGGGACTGTCAAGTAGATCGAACCAGGTAGAGTAGGACTTGAGGCTTAGATTGACAGGTCTAGCCCGGCGATTCAATCATTAGATCGTGATCAAAGCTTCTTTACAACGTTGAGGCTAGTGCAATTGGCCAGATAGCGTGGGGAGTATTGGGATGGTATCTACAGTGGATGTTAGTCAATCTCTTATGAGCTCATTTAGTTTATTCTTACAGGCAGGCAGCAGCAGTCAAGAATCTTCACGATATCAATAGTTCGTCATGATATAAACTCGTCAAGGGAGATCGATGAGGTGGTTGTATTTGCGGATGCCTCAGGCGAGGGCGGCGGGGGAAACGATGAGTCAGCACATACAAGGGTCCGTCCTGAATAACTAACTAGATCTATATCACCCGGTCATCTATGGCAGTTGACATTAGAAAAGACTGCATTAAATATGATAGAGCAACTATAAGAATTGGATGAAAGAGGGAAAAAATAGTGATATTGGATGAGTATACTATCAGGTATCGAAGACCCAAAATGAAGATGAGATTGATGAGATGCCCAAATCCCGCAACGCCAAAACACAATGCCGCTAAACGACGCAGGAACGATTTTAACGACCAAGCCAGCCAAGGGCCATACTAGACGAGAGTTTTTTTAACAGTCATGCATATAGCTGTTCTTCGGCCAGAGGTAGCCAGCATCCTCCCTAAAAGACAAAAACAGTCAGTAAACCGTGACTCAACAATAGATCCAACGTCAAAAAACAAAATAGAACAGAATATAACTCACCAAGTCGTCAGATTATGATTATCATACGCCTTCCGGTGCGCATCAATATACCCCGTAGTCTCAAACCCGGGCGGATCACACGTCACGCTAATCTCATCCGGGTCCTGATAAATCCGAATATAATCAAACCGCAGATACGCAGGCATATACTCGCGGATACTCTTATTCTGCGGCGCAAAGTTATCCGCCATACCCAAATTCATGACCATGCTCATCGGTTCGAGCGGGATCATGCGTTGACCGACGTTCCCATTGGGCCCGATGGCGCGCCCGTCGAGAGTCCAGGTTTTGTCGGCACCGATGAACCAGGTGACGTTTCCTGTGGCACCAGGGGTGTATTCGAAGGCGAAGATTTGGTATTCCGTGCCGTTGTACCAGCGGTGGTTGAGGTTTGTGAGGCCGGACATGGCCTGTTGGTAGACGCCGCCACGGTAGGCGTTGATTTGGGTGATGCGGGGATCGTAGACGGCCGTGTAGTCTAGAAACAGAATGGTTAGCGAAGGGGGACTTGAGATGAAGATCTTTCGGAAGGGAAATGCATACCGTAGTCTGGCATGTACCAAATATCAAATGGGGCTGCTTGCATTGACTGCGAGGCACTACCAATGTATGGACCGTCGCCGTTCAATGGAGCCGTGCTTCCTTCGATCACATCGATTTCCGGAGCACTACGAGCATGGCCAGGGCTGGGATGATCAGATCCGGGACAGGCGCAGCCAGGAAGTCGCATGCCAGGAAGAAAGTTGATGCCATCGGGAGAACTTTGGTTCGGAGTGATTCCAGCGTCACAACCGTCGTGATAACTGTACGGCCACATTCCATCCGTAGTCGCAGCATGACCCGGTCGACCTAGGTTACCCATGGCCCAGAAACCAGGCCAGAAACCTTGAATGTGTCCATCACCGGGGAGAGACAGACTTGCTTCGAGACGACCACCCTTGAAGCAAAGCTTGTTCCAGCTCTGGACCATGCCGGATCGGTATTGTACACCGTGATTCTTGAAGTTGTCGAATCGGATTTCCATGACGCCCTCTTTCGTGGTGACTGCATCGGGATCGTACCACTAGATTCTTATTAGTTCTCTGGATCGTTCACCCTCCAGTCTAGATATACACACCTCTTTATCCATTGTCACACCATACCATAGATCAACCGCTTGGAAGAAGGGGTCATCTTCATCGTAAAAGGTTCGACCGGGCATATTGAATTCGTCCGAGAACTGCTTCCTATTAGACTTCCACTCTCGCTGAAGTGGTCAATTCTCACACTTACCACCAGCTGCCACTCCTTCCCATCCACATTCTTCTTGGTCATTGCCTCTTCAGGTGTATCCGGATCAATCAATCCTCTCCGGATATTCTCCAGCAAAGGCACCTCCCCAACATCCAAACAGAGAAAGTCTCCATCCTTGCAAGGATGAGTCGGTTTCAAAATGCCCTCGACCCAAGATCTGTCACCATCCATATTAGCAATCAAAATCTCCCCACAGTCAGGTCTAGGATTCCTTACATAACTGGGTACCCAATGAAGAGTACCAGAATGCCCACCGTCAACAGCGCCAACCCACCGACATTCAGCACACCTCGACGATTACAAACATCACATTCACGGTCCTTGTCCGCCGGGTCGGGGTTATGCAGATAATCATCTTTCTCCACGTCCTCAGGAAAAAGCAACAACCCATCCGTCGGCATGATGTTGAACTTTTCCGAAACGGTCTGCGTATTAACATCATACTCGTCACTCTCAGTCCGACTCGGTGCCCGCGAGTAATCCTCAAACGGATTGAAATGAAACCGACTATCCCGACTCATCGAGCTGACACTTGACCGCGCCGCAGACCGCGCAGACCAGCGATCAGGAGACCCGGACCTATCCTGATCGTCTCGAGGCGTGGGCCGCAGCTTAGGTGGAAGGAGAAACTCCGAGGACTCCGGTGCGTGAGCCACGCCGTACGGGGACATACCCTGAGCCCCAACGGGCATTTGTGGTTCATGTCCCTGGGGCGTCAATGGCCGAGGTAAGGTCCGCCCTGTCAATGGAGCATAGGCATCGTTGGATTCGAGGAATGGATCATGACGACCCGAGTTTAGGCGGATGTGAGGCATCTCTTGCTTTGAGCTCGACGTTTCAGAGCCTTGGTCCGACATCTGAAGGGCGTCCTGGCGAGTTCGACGTTGTGGGAAGCCGGGTTCGATCCGGTTGTCGTCCGTTATTCGTGTGTCTTGACAAGCAAGACTGTGAACATCCAAGCCGTTTCGAAAGATCGCAATCCTGGAGCTCTAGACAATTACAATCGGTTTGTCTTGTCCAAGTGCTCCTCGTCCGTGTCCTCGCTGTGATTTCTGTTTCCCTTTTCCCACGATCTCCAAGCTGGTAAGGTAAAGACCGAAAGAGCGTGTATATTTGCACCGTCAAGTCCAATGCAGGCGAATGAGTGGACAGGATCACTTGGACTGTATCCAATGTCCCAGGCGAAGACGTTGTATAGCGGGAGCGGCAGACAGCGTAGAAGCGACGGAGAAGAAAAGAGAAAGTCTTTCGAGCACCGCAATGCCGACAGAAAAGACGAGCCTAGATTGCGCTCCGTGAGGGATTCTTGTTTGGGTGCACGAGGGGAGTGGAATGCCCGTTTTCTGGCCAAGGGATCAGCCCGTGGTATGCGTATACTTCCCCGACGGTGCAGCCAACGGCACAATAATCGTGGCTTGAGTATTTCAACTGTTGCAAGTTACTCAAGAGGCACGGCTTCAATTCTGTGGCTTCTAAAGTAATGTGATTGATGTTGAAGTTTAGGATAATTTGCTGCTGAACGCTCGTATCTGCTTCTCTCGAGGGTGCGGCGCCCTCTCCCAGGGCAAGGCACATTCCGGGGATGCCCTCCCCGGGGCAGCGAGGAATGAGACGGTCATGAATGCTAGCCAGGAATCCAGAGATCGGCAGATTGTTCCCTCTGTAAGAGTAGGTTGATCTAGTGGTAACGGGCTCCGTAGAATCCGAGTTCAATGATGTGGATAGTCAAGTGTTCAGAGGAGGTTATTCAGAGCGGGAGGATTCAATCTAGGGTTTCTACGGAAGGGAGGCTGTCTATACCACATCTATCGCACTACATCAGTCCCACAAAAGAAAAATGATAGAATGAGACAACAGCCCTCAATTCCATGGCCATGAGTAAATTTGCGATATTTACCTCGCGGCTCCCAGATCCAAGGCGGCCATTCCCGAACACGCGTCCCTATCCTCGACCTCCCGCTCCAACGGAATGCCGCGATGCCCAAACGAGCAGCTGTCAAGACGGCCTCAAACAAGAAATACAAGAAATTGCGAATTATCAGGATCAGCTCAAAATCTTGGATCATGATACCTGCTCTTTTCAACGTGGACATTCCTCTTCCTGCCGATCTCGAGTATAGAGTATCTATGCGCCACGCGGGCAGGACCTTCAACGTTGTCGAGCTCGACTTCGGCTTCGGCTTCGGCTTCTCTGCAAACAGTATAGTCGTATATAATTCAACATATCTTAGCCAATACAGTAAATACATCCCTATGCAAATGTAAGGACTGATCAAATGCACAATAATTCTGCTAGATAGCAGTGCATATCCATCACGCATCACTCATCATATAGTATCTATCGACAGCAAACCCGTCCCACAACGGGAGAAGCTAGGATTCGCTCTAGGACTCAAACGACTTGGCTCGCAGGCCAACAACCCGGCTACCGGGCACATCCAGTGCCAACACCCAGTACTCCAATTTCGTGCTAGTCAGCTCCACCCTGTAGACCTTGACCTCGACGTCAGACTGGTCCGCATCGGAGGCCTTTTCAACGGCTGCCGAGCGCACGGCGCGCAGGACGGAGGCGTACTGGTTCTTCGGGTCGAAGGAGGAAGGGCTCAGGGTAGAGATGGCCTGGGAGAGATCGGCAGAGGGGGAGATGAGGCGGGAGAATTGATCTAGATGAGTAATGAAAGGTGGGGGGTCAGTAATGATAATGACGCATGCTTGATTAATCAAGGGAAAGCGCACGCCATCAAGGGTAGATCAGTGCATAGTAGAAGGGATCCGATGCTCTCGAATACCCCCGGTCATGCATGAGTCCCTGAAACCGCGCAAGGCACGCCTTCGCGGGAGACGTAGAATCTAGGTCCTGCTCACGTACCTGCGCTAGGCCAATCTCCCTTCGACGCGCCCTCCCACCGCAGGGCAACGGGCTCGAAGGGCTCATCGGCATCCGAAACATAATAGGCATCGACCGACTGCAGTGCCGCGGGGACATCGGTGTTGGCGTCTACGGTTTCGGTCCGAGCGGTCTCGCTGGCCCCTTGCTGTTGAGGGCGGCCGGCATTAAGATCTGCGTTGGCCTTGTCTAGGAAGGACATGTAGGCATCGTCGGAGGACATGGTGATGGAGGTTGTGGAGAAGGGTGTCGTTTGGGTAAGAGCTGTCGCGGGTGACTGGGAGCTTTGAGCTGCGGGGGAGATGCGGAATGTAGGTGTGGAGGGTTTGAGGATCTTTCGTGCGTGGTAGCTAGTCCGAGTGGAAGGAGCTAGGTGGTGCAGTTGACGGGTTTGGATATGATGTTGAAGTAGAGAGGTAGAAGCTGAGAAGGTTGAATGGGGAGGGTGTGCAACGAGCGTCGTGATGGATGGAGCGGGTGTATTTGAGGAATAATGTGGGATGACGCAATGGATCCTTGATGGCGGCCGCATGGCTGCACAACCCGTTTGTGGCGGGCGAGTCCAATTAGTGAAGATGAATGACAATGATTGAGGAGGTAAAGCTTGTTGGTCGCCGAGGTGGTCAAGGCTTAGAATTAGGAAGTAAATTAAAAATTAATGGAAAGGTTTCCGACCTACGGGCTACCGTAGTCCTTACTCACACCCGTCGAGGTCAGTATCTCACACCTGGAACGCTAGGAAGATATAGCTATTTACATTTTACTTGTAGGGGAGATAAAAGCCAAAATAGATCTACAAATGACTCTATACTTTACAGCACAAATCGAATCATGAAGGTTATTGTTCGCTTTTTTATTGAACTGGAAATACGTCACTGACACCGACCATAGCTCGAAACACCTTAAACAGTCTGGATAAGGTCCTTCTTGAGGGTACCCAGGAAGGCCTTCTTCTCCTCGGCGGTCTGGAAAGCACCGTGACCGAACTTGGAGGAGGTGTCGATCCACTTGAGGGAGACCTTCTCGGTGGCACGGCGGGAGGTCTGGGGGTACAGGGTCTTGCGGAGGGTCATGACACGCTTCTTGACACCGGGAACGGAGCCCTTGAGCATGACGAAGTCGTTCTTGACCTCACCGTAGTGAACGAAGCCACCAAGACTGTGATAAGAATAGTTAGTAAATAAATCGAGGATGTTAGGGGATTTCCAAGAACAAAACATACGGAGTAATCTGCTTCTTGGAGATATCGAACTCGGTGGAGGCGTTGCCCTCATCGGTACCCTTGCCGATGCGGAAGACCTTGTGGTTGCAAGAGGTACGGTGGTGGTAACCCATCTGACCAGCACGGGCAACAGTCCACTGGACGTGGCTAGGGTGCCAAGCACCAATACAAGCGACCTTGCGGAGACCCTTGTGAGTCTTGCGGGGCAGCTTGGTGGTACCCCAACGGGAGGTAACACCCTGGAAACCGTGACCCTTGGTGACGGCGATAACGTCGATCATCTCGTCCTGCTCGAAGATGGAGTCGATGTCGATGGTCTTCTCGAAGAGGTTGCGGGAGAAGTCAACCTTGTCGGCAATGGAGCCACCGTTGACCTGGATCTCCATAAGGTGGGCCTTCTTCTGCTTGATGGGGGTCTTGCGGATCTGGGTGTGGGCGAGGACACGGACGACAGTGCAGTACTTCTTGATGCGCTCGAGCTCACGGGTGATGGAGGCACCGGAAGACTCGGCGTGGGACTTGGCGTACTTGGTGAAGGCCTTCTTCTTGGACTTGTACCAGTTCTTGTAGAAGCGACGCTTGACCTCGTCGCTCAAGTGCTCAGCCCAGACGGTGGTGAGCGAGCGGAGACCGCGGGGAGTCTCGATGTAACCGACAACACCAACGGCAACGAGCTAAAGAAAGTGGCGGTTAGAATGCTTTCCAAGGGAGAGTAAGATTGTGGTGTCCACATACAGGAGGGGTCTCGATGACGGTAACGGCCTCGACGATCTCCTTCTTGTGCATCTTGGCACCGGGACGGTCAAGGTCACGGACGACGGTGGTCATACCGGCCTTGTAGCCCATGGAGGCAGTCAAGTGGACGGGCTTCTTGGGGTCATCCTTGGGGAAGCTATTCGCAGAAAAAGTCTCAGCACTCGAATCTCCACACATTCAAACTGAAATTTTTCGCATCTCAAGGATTTGAAAACGTACCTCTTGACCTTACCGCGGTGGCGGGCAGCGCGCTTGCGCGGGAGGTAGGCCAGGGAGCCTGTAGAGAAAATATTAGTATCATCGCACAGGACGTTGATTTTTTTTTTCTTTTCCTGCGTGTCGAAATTTCGACTCGGCGCAGGAGAAGCAGCGTATTTTGAGTGATCACGAACCGTGGCGAGGGGCTTCGAACTTCCGGTGACTCCTGAAATGATAAAATATATTAGCAATTGCATTCAGTGCAGTGATTCAATAGCCATGGCGAGGTGCGACTCACATCTTGACCCTGTTGTCGTTAGCGTGTTGAGGACGTCGAGAAAGTGACGATCTGAAAGTGTGGAAAGCATTTTGCGCTTGCCGAGTTGTGGGCTGAGTCAGCATGTAAGCGACCCCACTGTTCTGTGAGTCACATGATTTGGTGTGTCACGTGTCAGGTGCTCGATTTTGGCTTTTGACTTTTGGCGGAGTGGAGTTTCTCCTGATTGGCTGGCGGGTTCAGTTGGAGAGCATATTCATTCAATTACTATTCAACGACCAATTCGCCTTAGAGAAGGGGGAAATCGATTTAACATTCATTGTTAGAAGATATTTAAGCTATAAAGGTAAAGACTATCTTGGCTGTATAACCAAAAATGGTTATCACCGTCTTCCTGCCGGGTCTTAGTCTCACAAAAGCCATTAGTCCTTGCTTTGGTTAGATCTAGCTTCTCTTTGATGTTTTCTAAGTTTTTAGATTAACGTTAATGATTGATTCGATTTACTCGAGATTCATGGATGCAGTACCAATTCTCATACAGGGAGCTGGCTCCAGCATAATTGGGTAGACTTGCCTGTGCCCGGTAGCCACACTGAGTATTGGCAAGGGACCAGGGAAAAATATATAACTGATACCCGCTCGAGTTCTCCAGCAGACGTTATATAGAATACCTGGTAGGTAAGCTGAAGGGTCTTGATCACAGAGGAACATCTTCACTCCAATTTTTGTTTCCATCACAGGAAATTAAAGTCCGAAGCGACCGCATACCCATCAAAAAGATTGTAAAAGTGACAAGTGTCGTATTCGCCATATGGATTGATATCGGCACGCGATGCTTCCTACCTCATTTCATTCCTGCTCAACCATCGAAATGACTCGAGCTAAGTTCGAAACACACGCTGTGAGATTTGTCTTTCTACGTCTGCGTCGTCTTGGTAACACCAACTAGAACATCTACCAATGGAGCTAGCTACCGACTGAAGCGAACAAAACAATTGCCCGAAGAATCTACAGCTACAAGTTGCGAAGCCTTTCAATGACAAATGGCTGAAATTGCTATCACAAAGATACCCTCGCATCCGCATCAGAAGAATCAACAGGAAAGTAGAATAAAGAAAAAGATCACTTTCAGTTAAGTATAAAAAAAATTCATCAGGNGGGGGGGGGGGAGAGAAAGAACGAATACAGGACACACAACCGCAGCCGGTGTCGACTCACCCAGCCAACATCAAGTGGTCTGAGGCGTAGCCGAAAACGATAGGAGTCTTGACACCAACGTTAAAAGTTAAAAGGGACATTCATACCGTACATGACGCAATAAAAAGGAGGCTGGAGGGGTAAGACGGGGATTGGTAAAAAGGACACGGGGGAGAAAGGAGAAGAAAATTTGAGATGGAGATCGGTAGAATGCAAGCAGACAGAGATACGAGACATGAAACTATTCGTCATTTACTCCAAAGAAAAACCATGGGGGATGTTCTTTTTAAGCAGCCTCGGTCTTCGAGGGAGTGCCCTGACGACCGTTGCTGACTCCATTGCCGTTAGTGACAGTGCCCGCAGCGCTGCCGTTGGGGCTGCCCTTAACGGGAGCACCGGCCTTCTTCTCATCATCACCGTCGTCATCGTAATCCTCGTCAACGTCCATCTTCCGAGCGGCGGGCTCGTGCGACGTGGGGGCCTCCGGGCGAGGAGCCTCCTCCTTGACTGGGGTGTGGGCTGAAGAAGGTCCCGAGGGAGGCCCGTTCGACGCGAGAGGAGCAGTACTCTCAGCCATGGGAGGAAGGCTGGGGCCACCTGCAGAATGAGGAGGCATGCTTTGAATCGAAGGCAGGGTAGGAGGGTGATGAGCTGCCTCGGACGGGTGGTAATTCTCGTTGGCTCGGCGAGCATCCTCACGGCGAGCCTCGGAAGAACTACGTCGCTGCATCTGACCAGGAGAAGGCAGACGAGCGGGAGGGCTCGAGCGACGGCTGTTCTGATCATCCAGGCGGGCCCGGGTCTCATCACTGGCCTGCTTCTTGACGGGGCCAGCCTCACCCTCCCATTCACGTCCACGCTTCATAGCAGATGGCGGGCGGTCCTCTCCACGCTCACGAGCAGCAGCCTCAGCAGCAGTCGCAGCTGACGCAGGGGGAGGCGCACCGGAGGCGATACCAGTGGTGCTGCCGCCCGGAGTGGGAGCGAGCGGACCGTGGTGGTACTGCTGGTGGGGGTAGCCCGATCCAGGAGAGGAGGGACGCTCATCACGGATGGGGCGAATCTCGGTAGGAGGGGTGAAGGGGCGATGTCCGTAAGGAGGAGCAGGAGCACCAGGAGCTGCACCACCGTTAGGAGCTCCGGGAGCCGGAGCACCAGTGGGCGCCGGAGGAAGAGGGCCACGAGTAGCAGTGCCAAAGGGAGCATTACCACCGCTGGGGGCACGCTCATGAGCTGGAGCTGGAGCATTTCCCAATTGGGGTAAGGTGTGAGGTGGAGGATAGGCATTAGGCCCGGCCATCTTGGGCGAGCGAGGAAGAGCACCAGCGCGAGCAGGGTCGGGGAATGCCCGACCAGGCTCCTGGCGAGGGCTGGCCTGGGGAGCACCAGGGCCACGCAGGGTATCACGCTGGTCAACGCCGTTGGCAGGTGGCAGGGCAGGACCCTGTTGCGGGTGCAGCTCATTAGCACCGCGATTCCAGTCGATTTGACGAGGAGGAGCGGGTGCCTGAGGCGGAGGACCGACAGGTGCGGGGGCAGCCGCGGTAGGACCGCCCCACTGAGGAGCAGGGGGAGCTCCGACGCCAGGCGCTTGGTACGCTTGAGGATGAACATCTTGGGGCTGAGGAGCAGGGGCGGTGTTCTGCTGAGCAGAGCCAGACAGCTGGCTCTGGAGAAGCTGCAAACGGGCCTTGATGTGGACGTTGGATGGGTCAAGATCCGCAGCCCGGCCGTAAGCATCGAGAGCGTCGGCAATCTGGTTGTTGCACGACTCATACAGAGTACCCAGATCATACCAGACCTCGGAAATGTATGGGTTCAGGCGAATTGCACGAGAGTAAGCATCGAGCGCATCGCGGTACTGGTTGATTTGGTAGTATAGGACACCAATCGAGCACCAGAAGGTAGGGTTGCGGCCATCGCGGTAGACCGCCTGCTGGTAAGCTTCGTATGCCTTCGGGTACTTGGCCTGAGACATATAGCAACGACCAAGTAGGTACCAGCTTTGAGCATCGTTATTGTCTGATAAACGCGTTAGTACTAACGTAGAGATGAGGGGAGAATGATCTTCGGAGATATGCTTACCAGCACTGACAGACTTCTCCAGGTATTCAATAGCCTTTTCTTGGCTCGCGTAGCTGTTGCTTTGCTGGTGGTAGAGCCAACCGAGCTGCTGGAGAACCTTGGCGTGGTTGGGGTCACGCTCCAACACGCGTCTGTACGCAGCCTGAGCAGATTCGAACTAGACAAATAAGTCAGTATGGCGCGGCGGAACACGAGACTGATTTCAGATGCTTACATCCTTCTGTTGCTCGTGGACGTGGCCGACCTGGAACCAAATGTCCTCCTCGGTAAGGGGGCGAGGCGGGTCATTAACAATATACTTGAAGCACTGTGGGAAGAAAGAAAAAAAGTGGTCAGCTGTCAGGTCCCAGGTTGATCAAGGTCAATGGGTGACATACATCAAGACTCTGACTGAACTTCTGCTGCTGCTTGTATATTATGCCCAGGCGGAAGTAAATCTCGTTGGCCTTCTCAAACTCTGGCGCCATGCGCATAACCTGAGAAAAGGCCTCTTCGGCGTGGTCCAGGGATCCATAGCGATCGTACAGGATTCCAATACCGTACCACAGCTTGGGTTCCTGGATTGAAATCGCAACGTTAGCGTCCGCACAATTCGCGATTCTCTCACGATGACAATCGCCACTCACTTTGGGGTCGCGAAGATGGTACAGAGCCTGCTGGTAGGAGGTATATGCCTCTTGCAAGTTGTCCATCATCAAGTGACAGTGACCCAGGCTACCCCAGGTCTCACCGCTGGTCGGATCCAGCTTCAAGATGTTCTGGAGGTACTCGATAGCCTTGGGGAACTGTTCCTTGGTGCGCAGGATGCACGAGATGGCGTTCATGGCAGGGATAGACCATTGATTGTGTCGCAGAGCTTGCTCGTAAGCATTCATCGCGCCATCAAGGTCGCCCATCAATTCTGTCAAGCTGCCTAATAAGTCATATACAGTCAGTACGCGATGGCGATGTTTCAATCCCTCCAATTCGTCGGGGGGACAAGCTTCTTTCATACCAATTTGGAGCCACACTTGCTCATTTAGGGCAGCGATCTTTTGAGCCGTGGTGAGGGAAACTCCCTTCTGGCCTTGTGCAGGAATCGCAGCAGGAGGCATGTGGCCATTGACCTGGGCGTGGGCGGCCATAGCGGCGGCGTGGTGTTGGGCCACTCCCGCGGTAGGGGAGGGCTGCGTATGCGACATGATGGTCTCGAGATAGGGTGTGATGAGATTATGGTTCACTGTGATGCGACCCAAGAGTCCCGCGACCTTTGCGACACGATGATGCAATCTACCCGAGGACGAAGAGAGCAGCGGCGGGTTAAGCTGGAACGTGGAGAACGAACGCCCGGCGGGTGATGAATCGCAGATTCAATGTCGCGCGGAGAAGGGAAAGCGGCGGTGATCACACGCGATGTCCGACCGGCGGTGATGAAAGATCCAACGATCGGCGCGAATTGGATAGGGATGCGCGCCCACGATAGGAGAAACCGATTTAGGGCGCGTGTGTGAGCAGATGTTTTGGGAGCAAACGGCCAGGTTCCCAGGGCAGCAAGTCGATGGACCGAGGGAAGCGGAAGGGTAAAGGAGTGGAATAGGAAGATGGAATGATACCGGGGGTGGATAGCAAGGATGGGAGGATGCAGGGGAAGGGGAGGGGGGAAGACGGAAGAGTCACGGAAAGGGAAAAGGATGAAGCCCGAGAAGAGAGAAGGGAAGAGTCGAGGGGCTGGCAGGAAGTGTGAAATTTGCCAAGCGGCGCTAGTGGTTGTGCAGCTTTGCTGCGGCCGTCACCAAGACCGGGCAGGGCCACGACGGGGTTTGACGAGTTTGCTGGGTTTGGGGGGGATGGGCGGGTGCTGGGGAGGGGGGCGAGAGGAGGACGAAGTACGGATACTGATGGAGCTACCTAGACGGTCGAAAGTGTAATAGGGAACGGGACCCAACGCTAAGGAGCCAAGAGTGGGTCCTTCGCAACGCCCACATCACCATTCATCCCACGCCAAAAAGGAAGAGAGCTGGTCCCCTCCCGGGCTTAGCGCCGTGGGGCCGATCTGGAGGCTGTTATTGTCATTTTCTAAAATTTTCTTTTTTTTTTCTTTTTTATTTTTTTATTCCTTCGGGATTTTCTTTTTTCATTATTTCTCGCTTTGGGGGGAGGGCTTTAATTATAATTTTACTTTTCTTTTCTCTCCTAGTGAAGCCGCCAAGTCGACGCACGCTTATCCTGGTACATACAGTATACTAGGATCTACCTAAAGTAGATAATTCATATAAAGCCATTTAAGTTGATCGAAGATGAACTATCGTAGTGGAGCATAGGAAAGCAATCCATCTTGTATACTTCATCCCTCGAAAACACCATCCGACCTTTTTTTTTCTTCCTCCTCCTCCTAGACTCGTGATGAAACACATCATTCTTCACTCACACGAACTCTCCCCGGTTGGGCCGAGTGGCGCCCTAGTGGGTCCTCGGGGTGGACACCCCCGTGGTCACTGGGGGACACTAACCTACCGGTGCTTGTTACTGTACAGTTGTCCATGTCTATGTAAGCTAAGGCTTTTCTTAGGCTCTCTTCCCTCAGGACCGGGACGAGCGACTAGTGTCTAATCGGGACTAGCGCAACTGTTCTCCGTGCCACTCCGACCTTTAGCCTAGATCCGGCAACTGGCAAACTGCAGGCCCCCTCAGACCCGGTTGGACCGTGCCCCTCCCCAGCTCGATCCCTGACCCCTGGTCGGCTCCTCCATCACGCTCTTTCTGCCTTCCTGCCTTCCTGCCTTTCGCATACTGTACGCAGGACGCGGGATGCTGTACGATTTATGTATGGACCTCAGTATACTTACCTCTACAGTACTCCGCTTTTTTTTTTCCGCTGCATGGCCAGCTCATCTCCCAACTCGGAATAGTGCAGCGTGCAGGGCTGTCGAGCAACCCTATGGGACTGATATATTCGTGTCCAGCCGACCCATAGAAGGGGGGAAATAATGAATGAATATATGTATATATATATATATCTGATCTGAGCTACTGCACGGAGTATGTATGATCTGGTTGGTCACGGAATGTCTTGTATTCCTCCGGGGTACAGGGGACTTAGAACCCCGTCTGTCGTTTTCCAGGAAGGAAATATATATCCCTTAAGAGATACACGCTTTCACACGGTAATCTTCCCTCTTCCCTACGAAAAGCATAACTACTCCCGTCCTCCATATGAATACTCCGTACAGGTGTCCTGATATGCTCGCCGTCCTCCCTCGACCCCTCTTCTCATTCTCCTATAGGCTCACGCCCCTCCTGCAGGGTTTCTTGACTCGCATACCAGGCATCCTCACCCCCCGTTTTAAGCCCGACAAGCCCAGACAAGCCAAAGCCAGAGCCAGAGCCAGGCCAACCGAAGTCCCCCAAAGTCAAAAGTCAAAAAAGCCATGGCCCCCTCCAGCCTCCAGCCGCTAGTGCAATTCGCCCCTTCCGTCATGACCTTCCACTCGTTCCCGCTCCCAGTCACTTACCTTAACCGGTTTAGCGTTCCGGTCTCGCTTCCTCCACAATTGAATTGGCATTTTTGGGGACTTTTTTCTCCCTTTATTCTTTTTTTGGTGATTTTGTGATATTTTTGGGGGGAGTTTTTCCCGGCTTCTTGTTCTCCAGTTGGTTGGGTTTATCTTCCTCACCACGGTGCTACATTGCCTTGGATCCTCGTATTCCGAGTCTCGTTCTTTGATTTTGACAGTATATCTAGACAATCCCTCTCATATGTACTTTCTTACCTTCTTTATCAATACAGTTCTACGTTCTCGCTTCCCCCATTCAACAATCTTCTTCTTCTCAACAGCCACATCAGCGCCACACCCCTTTGCCGCAAATGCCAGTGCATGCCAGTGGACGGCGATCTTGATTATGTATCTTCCCGTGCTCTGGCCCCGTGGAGCCCGTGTCAATGCTGCCCTTCCGGATCCGAATCCGTACGCTTTGTAACCTTGTCCATCAACTCTAGTTCTTGTTGATCACTGATTCACGATGGGTTGCCCTGAGCCCCCCTTGACCGTTAGCCCTTCGTACCCGAACACCTGCTATCATCCACCCATCTACACCGACTATATCTGCCTGATCCACCATCCCCATTATCCAATGTCGTCCACTCCCTTGTTATTTCGACCAATCCGGCGACCGACTATCCAAGTTATGAGTACCATGAATTTTACTCGGTCTTGCTACTTCCCCATAGTTACGGTGTAGAATCCAAACCGCCCTGCCAGCCCCCCAGCCCTTCTCCATTTATCCTGTACCCTGCACAATGTACAGTACAATTTTTCCAGGTCGCATCCACTTGAGCCCTGCTGCAGCCTCGATCGGCCCCCAAGATGTCGTCAGCCCGAGCCCGGAGGAATCTCCAGTGGATGGGTCCACTCGGGGCGTGGATACGCAAGCCCCCCTCTTCATTCTCTTGATTACTATTGAGCGATGAAATTTCTTTTTCCCTTCTGATTAATTTTGTTCTTATTTCTATCGCGCAGGGGTTGGACTAGCCGAGCCGCCACTACCGTTGCGTCGCAGTCCAGTAGTCCACTGTGTGAAACGCCCTCCAGACTTCCAGAGCCCTGGAAGAGATGTCTTTTACCATGGAGTACGGAGTACAATACGAATGAAGGAGTCTTACTACATTTGCTACATGAACCAATGGCCAGTGATATACCACTTAAGGACCATCAATGCTTAGTCCAGGTGTTCAGTACAATCCCTCGGTCCATCAAAAGGCCGCGCGAATCGGTTTACCATTCCTCGTCACCTGATTTGACAGCTTCCCACGCCCCGAAACCCTCTTTCACTAGTTCCAACTTCTAACTTCTCCCGGAACGGGATTCCTTGGCTGAAGTATCACACCCACATACACACGAACACAACCGCCATCCCAGATCGCTGCTAGCCCGGGTTACACGGCCGCTTAGCAGAAAAACAACCCCCCCAACGTGCCCTGTACAACCGTCACTAAGATTGTTTGGAACCCTCGAGGTCCTAACCTATTCTATTCATGTAGTAAATCTTTCAGGGTTCCACGGCCCCGTCACTCGCATGACATAACATCAATCTCATCAACCGTCACAAGGGGGATCTGGTGTTCCCTCAGGTTGTAACCCCCTTCTCCTCTAGCGGAGCCCTGCAGGCGCCGCCTTCCTCAAGCTCCGCTTCGGAGACAACGCAACTGAAACCGCCTACGAAGATTCTATCGTTGTTCATTAAATAGTCTACAAATAGCTAGTACTGAGAAACTCAGTATATTAGACCCTCTGCACCTACCTCCATGTACAGTACAACCTTCCCCCGTAGGATTATTGTTTAGCGCTCCCCTGGCTAATCCCCGACCGAGCGTGACTCGGTTACCTCGGTCGGGGCATGGCCCTGCTCCACGCTCCACGCAGCCGCGCGCATAGTAGACACGAGACCGAGAGGCGAGACGAGACACCTGGGAGGAGTTCCACTGTGGGGACAGAGTCGGGTCCGGTGCGGCCTTGAGTACAGTAAAATAAGGGGGAAGGCACGTGCTCTCGTGGGAAAGATGTGTTTATGCAGTGTGTGGAACAGAATGATACGGCAGGATAGTACTCTATTGAAGATATGGTTATCTGAGTGAGCATAGACTTTTGTTCTTTTATTCATGAGGGCATTGGCCATTCGCCATATCAATGCGACCGGCGGGAATGGGGCTGACAGTGAACCGGAGGCGCTCAGTAAAGACTTGGCCTTTAGCTCCAGTCTGTAGCTTAGCTTCGTCAAGCTTGGCCAAGGCGAGTATACCATATCGAGAACTTAAAAACATGGCTTGTCAAATCTGGTGACTACGAAATTGAAATTCAGCAATAATCGATCTACTCCAAATCTCTCATATGTACTACCTACGGTACAGACAACAGGGATCAAGGGGGTCACTTAGTCGACAGCCAGCTACTGAAGGCCATTATCATGCTCTATCCGAAGAATATCAATGAACCCTACTCTCCACTACTTGAGCTAATACACAAGAGCACCTCATCCAACAACAAACGGTTTAGATACGGCTACCTTTAGCTATGTTTGGGTACAAAAGTGCATCCATCTACCCCGTGCGCGGGCACGGCCCACTTCCAACGGGGACCACAAAACAAACCGGACAGCTTCATAAGACACCGGAGGAAATGTGGCACGCCTGCTGCAGCCACAAACGGAGCCCTTTAAACCTACTAGGCGGCTTAAATGGAGCATCCGGACGGAGCTATCCAAGCAATCGGTCATGTGCTCCGACAAGAGTGCAGGCTAGCCCTCCGTACAGGGATAATTAAGGGGATTGGATCTCTCTAGCCCCCAGCAAGTACCCATAGACCTTTCTCAGAATCTTTCAATATGGAGGCCAGTCATGTCATCAGCTACATACAAGCATTGGAAGCATTGAGTGTCTCTGGTTGTGACACTTGACCTTCGCACGGGTGTCAGGAAAAAGCAAGGTACAGGGAGGGTGGGTCCTTCTTAGGCTAGCTGCTTTTCTTTTGACTTTTCTTTGCTTTTTTAGCGATTCAGTGAAAAGCAGTGGTCTCTGCTTTGCAATGAGCGGGTAATTGCCGATATACAGTGGTGGTGGATATATCTAAATCGTACTTTTAGCTTGGAGATTGGTCACCCGTGCGGCTGAGATTGACTATCGATGATCGTCATTGGCGTGTGAGTTTAGGCCTGATGGTGTGCCTACATACTATGGTAGGTTGTTTAAGACTGAGAGTGTTGCCAAAACTATTGAATGTGGAAATTGAGCAATCTCGCGCCATGTGTCTGGCAGAGGGCAGGTACTTCCGAACATCGTAACAATGCAGTATAAAGCCCCTTTGTCCAGTCAAAGCATATAAGTATGAGAAGAGAAACCAGTTCCTAAGATCCAAGTGTCTTGCATAATTGTGTTGCCTTCCTTTCAAACAGGTCTAAAACAACTCTCCCAAGAGATGTGCTCATAACATCCGTCTCACGGCTGAGTTTTGCTTTTCCCCGAGCAACCAGCCACCCTGCATCTACCCTGAGAACATGCTAGCCCTGACATGAAGGATATGTATAAG